AAACAAAGAAACACCAGGACCTCCACAAGTGATAAGGAACTGGTACATCTTTCTGTCTTACCCGGTTTTTTGTTTGTTTGTTTGTTTTTTAAAATAACCTACTCAGGTTCACATCTCATTCAAGGTAGTTAGTTTATTGCTGGAATATTTTCTGCCTCTGGCTGGAAAATATAGTAGCTTTTAAACCATATGTGTCAGGTGTCTATAATGACTTTGGGTATAATTTGACCACTCAGATTTATGCATAGGAGGTTTGTGGGTCTCTCTGTGTTCTCATGTGTTTAGAATCTTCTTCAGAATAGCTTGTTAAGATGGCTATTATGACTTAGTAGGCTTCCTAGGGGAGGCCTTACCCTCACTGTGGAGCAAGTGGGAGGGGGAGAGTGGGAAGAGAGGAGGGAGGGTGAACTAGGGTTAGAATGTAAAAAATAAATTAAAAAAAATATTTTTTAAAAATTGACTTTGCTAAAGCCTTTTGCTGTCTCTCCACGACTGTGAACTGTAAGCAGCCACCTCAGTTAACTGTTTTCCTTTCTAAAAGTTACAGTGATCATGGTGTCTCTTCACAGCAGTAACAACCCCAACTAGGACAGAAGTCTGTGCTAGGCCTGACCATGCTTTTGTTTGAAGGAATATGAACCTTGGGACTGTGGATTAGAAAAGCAATTGAAGGCTTAATGGGCCATAGTAGTAGGAGCACAGAAGACAAGTGGTGTGGAGTGTGATTTAAGCTTTGGGGGGCTTGCTCAAGTGGCTTCAGAGAAGAGTTTTAGTATGTGACCTAGAATTTAGTTTTTGTGATATTTTGGTAAAGAAAGTGGCTGCTTTTTGCCTTTGTCCAAAGAGTCTGCCTGAGGCTGAAGTGAAGATTCCATTGGCAGAAGAAATCTCAAAAGAGCTCAGTATAGACTCTGTCGTGTGGCTATTAGTGGTAACTCTAATGAATATTTGTAATGAAAAAGAGCAAGGTGAGCAGGATAAATTACAAAGTGTAAGATTTAAGGAGAAAAGAAACACTAAAAAGTAGAATGGAACTAAATCCTTTGTTCAAGGAGATAAGAGATTAAGAATTGGGATAAAGGAAGTGGTGACTCCAGGGCAAGATCCCATCCACCTAAGTTTCCAATGTGTGAAAAGGAATTAAAGAAAAGCTTAGAGCTGGGTGTGGTGGTGCACGCCTTTAATCCCAGCACTGGGAAGACAAAGGCTGGCAGATTTCTGGGTTTGAGGCCAGCCTAGTCTAACCATTGAAAATAGAAAGTCGGGGAAGATGAAATTGAACAAGGTGGCCATGTTCCAGCCACAGTAAAGCAGGACTGCTTTAGCCATGTAATTCTGTTAGACCCTAATTCTGGGATCCTGATGGGCCGATGGAGAGCCCCACCACACAAACACCAAAACCAGGAGATGCAACAAGCAAGAGGTGTTTATTGAACGAATGCACTCGGGTGTCAGCGATCTCGGGGAAAGCTGCACACCCCTCAGGTTTCAGGTTCTCTCTTTTTTATTTTTTTATTTATTTTATATAACCAAGTCCATTTAAATGAAAACAAACATTTATAGACAATATTTGGGAATTTGGGCGTCGTTCTTTCCAAACTACTTCCTGCTGGTAAGGGGTGCTGTCATGGGGGATTCTAAGAAGATGCAGAAATCCTGGCTGTAGTCTGTAAGGCTGCTTTGTCCAGCTGTTTTGAATGTAGGATCACCTGGCACTCTGTTTCAGGTGGCCTGGCTTGATCAAACTACATTAGTCTGGAAGGAATCCACAGCTTTTCATTTTCTTGTGGAAACAAAAATAAAAATCCTTTTCCCCAGTAACTTGTCCTTGAACTTAAATTTTGGAGTCAAAGCATTTTTTTTTAAATTTAATTTATTATTTTCCTTCCCTCCCTCCCTCTTACTCTCTCTGCCCTCTCACATGCACCCTAACCACCCTCCCCTCCCATCCCCCCACCCCAATTCCATATGTAGGGGAATGCCATCCAGTTGGGGTCATGTAGAACTGACAGGTCATGTGAAGTAGGGACTAGGGCTTCTCTCCTGTCTCTAGGTTAAGGCAGTTATCCCTCCATGGGGGATGTGTTAGCAAGGTCCTTTTGTTCACCAAGGATACATCTGGCTCCACAGTCTGAGGTCCCTTAGACTACTCAGTCCTTCTGGCTGAGACCCATATTCAGGGGGGCCTGAGTCAGTCCCATGCTGGCTTCCCAGCTATCAGTCTGATGGCCTGTTAGCTCCTCCTTGTTCAGGTAAGCTGTCTCTATGTGTTTCTGCTGCCTGGTCTTGTCCTCTCCATCTGCATCTTGGTTCTAGTTCGACTCAGTGTTTATGTATGGGTGTTTGCTCCTGTTTCCAACAGGTTATTAGATGAGGGCTCCATGGATAAGTCAGTTGTTGATCTCACTATCCAGGAAGGGCATTTATGGTAGTCAGGCTCTCTTTTTATAGAGAAAGACCGCAATCAGCATACATGCATGGGGCACAAGGTGATTGATTAACAAGTATGATCTCATGTTTGAGAGATCACCAGGTATGACCTGTTCCTATTCAAAGGATAAACCATAGAATGACTTGGAAAGTCCCCAGACTGTCTGTTGGCCAGGAGTGACCCAGACAGGGCTGTTCATCTGGAATCATTTGTTCCAGGGTTGGGGGCCTATTTCCTTGTTGTGGTCCAAGACCTGTGAGAAACTTTTTTCATACTCTGGCTTTCTTTTGGCTGTACATTTAGAGCCTTCAGTTAATTCTACCACGGTTTGATGATTTAGTAACTAGCCCTATTTAACAAGATCAGTCTAGCATATAACCACTAGCCCCATCACCATAGTAACCTTTCTTGTTCTCATAATTCCTGTTTTTTCCTCCCATGTCAACGTCCATTCTTTATGATTTTCTATATTCTGCTTACAAGAATTATTCTGCCCCTTTCCTACATCCTTGCTCTCCAAACTAAAATCTTTCAATTCTAGAGTTAAGGACAGACTAAATGGTTTATGGAAATTACTCCCCAACTAAGGAAAGCCATTGAAACAAAGCTTGTGTCAGAGATATCTGACACAGAATCTGTTGTGTGAAGCTTTGAAGTTGAAGGCTAGGTTACCTACCTTGGAGAACCCAAAATGTTAGAGATGTCAGAGATTTGCTAGCAGGGAGTAGAACCACCCAAGAAGAAGAAGAAGAAGAAGAAGTGTGTTGTAGTCAATAAAGCTGAATGGAGTTGGAGATATAATGTTTTGGCATGAGACATAGAGATGCAGAGTTTAGTGGTTGCCCAACTGGTTTTCTGTCTTGCTTTGTTCCAGTGTTTCCTATGTTCCTTTCCTTACATTTTGGAATGGAACATCCTGTTTGGAATATCCTGTGTCATTAAATGTTGGCAGTATGTGATCTACTTTTTATTTTAATTTTACAGGAGATTAAAGTTAAGAGATTACATGAGTCTCAGAAGAGATGTTGGACTTTGAAATAAGTTTGGGACTGTTATAGACTATGGGTACTTTAAAGTTGGACTGAATGCATTTTAGCATTATAATGTGGCTACATGCCTTTGAGGGCCAGGGAGTGGAATGTGGTGGTTTAAAAGAAAGTGGTCCCCAAAGGGAATGGCACTATTAGGAGGTGTGGCCTTGTTGGAGGAATTGTGTCACTATGGATGTAGGTTATGAGGTCTCCTATATGCTCAAGATTATACCACCCAGAGCCACAGTACACTTCCCATTGTGTTCTGATCAAGTCAACACCATGTCTGCCTGCATATTGCCATCTCTCCACCATGATGATAATAGACTGAACCTCTGAACTATAAACAGCCATCCACAATCATGTTTTCCTTTATAAGAGTTGTTCTGGTTGGAAGCAGATGCAGACATCCACAACTAACCAATGGGCCAAGCTCCTGGAGTGCAGTCAAAGTGAGGGAGGAGCGATAATATGAACAAAGGAGTCAAGACCATGACGGGGAAACCCATAGAATCAGCTGACCTGAGCTAGTGAGAGATTACTGACTCAGGTCTGACAAATGGTGAACCTACATAAGACTGGACTAGACTCCCGTAATATAGGTGACAATGGTGTGACTGGGACAGTATATGAGGTCACTAGTAAGTGGGTCCAAGATCTAACTAACACTAATGTACAAACTGATTTAGTGGAGCCCATTCTATATGTAGTGAAACCTTGCCCAGCCTAGATATGGGGATGTGGGGGAGGAGGCCTTACTCAATCCAAAAGCAGATAGGAGGAGGGGAGGAGTGGGGAGAATTGAAAGAGAGGAGGGAGGGGAACTGGGATTGGAATGTAAAAAATAATAAAAAAAAAGTGTAAAAAAACAGAAAATAAAAAAATACATTTATTGATTTTAATATTCTAATTACCAACATAATTTGCTATGATGGGTTAATTCTTATAATTGTATTCTTATTGAATGGCAATTATAACATAAGAAATATAAATTTGCATTGTATTAAAAAGAAAAAAGAGTTGCCCTGGTCATGGTGTCCCTTCACAGCAATAGAAACCCTCACTAAGACAAGGAAGGAGTATATGATAGGATGGAAGCCCAGATAGTTTGCTATGCAGGTGTTGATATGTAGAAGCTGAGGACTGGCTCTTAATTGCTGGACCTGGCATCACTGGATACTGTGTCCTGTTAAATTCTGTTGGGCCAACAGCACACCCATCCTAAACCCCCACTGCTAATCAATTTAAAACTAAGTTTGAATCTTATAGAAACTAATAACTTGCTGTAGACTGTTGAAAAAAAAATCATTAAGGGAGAACTGGGAGGGGTACAGGGACGGGAAGCTGTGGTCAGGATATATTGTATACTCATGGAATAAATGAATTAAAAAAAAAAAAAGATAGCTTTCATTTCTGTTTTGCAGATAGTCCACTGAGGAGTCTACCTATAGATGTTTTACTGGTGCACCTGATGCTCCGTAGCAGATGAGAGGCTGAAAGTTCTTTCAATGATGACATTGTTATTGTTGTTAATACAGGCAAAGGGTGTTGTGAATACAACAGTATCTGCAGCAGTTCAGGCGGTTCGGGGCAGAGGAAGAGGAACTCTGACAAGGGGAGCATTCGTGGGGGCTACAGCAGCTCCTGGCTATATAGCACCAGGTCAGTGTCACTTGCTAAAGATCAAATGCCTTTTTGATTCCAGGCCCAAAGAACAGCATTTCCTCATTCTCCAAAGTTCTATGTAATCTCTGGGAATATTACACATGTGTAAGAGGAAAATAACATACATACACATGCATGCAAACACACATGCCTTCCTTTCTGGAGGGAGAAGAAAGGCAAGCATGGCTGACCTTGGATGAAGGAGCATATGTTGACAGGGAAGAATCTAAAAGCTGTTTTACAAATTATGGTGTTTGGACAGCAGAGCATGTTGTATTCTGGGGAGGCTCCCACAGTCGTGCTTGGTTTACCAAAATTGCTATGGGACTTCTTTATAGGGGTGAATCCTGGCTAAATTAGCATTTATGAAGTTCAGTATTTGAGAACAGTCAAAGAAATACAAAACAAAACAGAGAAAAATGAGAGGGTGGGGGAGGAGAGAGAGGGAGAAAGAGGGGAGTTTGAGTTGGGGTCTTTGTGGGTGAATGCAACTTATTTTTCAGAGCCCATTATATGCTAGACATTTCCATATAGATTACTTCTCATTCCTCAGTGTTTCCTCAGGTGTAAGGCAGTTTCCAAGTTGGGCAACCAGATCTGGATGAAACAAGCAGCTCAGTAAGGACTTGGATGCAGGTGATAGCATCTTGAAGCTACCACATGGCTTGAGGAGAAAGCTGTTTGATATCAGGCTTCTGTTCCAATCCATATGTTGTTTTAACCATGAATGTCCAGCTGGCTTTTTCTTTACAGTGGTGAAACAGTGAAAAATTTCACTTGACAAGCCATTTGTATTTGTTAACCAAGATGAAATTTATCTGTCTGTTTGTCTGTCTTTTTTTAAGGGGACGTCCTTAAGAGTTCACTTAGAATTGCTTCACTGTGCATGTTGTTGCCATTTGGAAAGTTTTATGAATAATGTGGCTTTGGAATTACAAGTTCACTCTTGTTGCATTTCTAGAGGATATGTCTTATAAAGAGTTGTTCTTGCTTAGAAACACACCATAGATTTTACCATTGTTGAGCTTACAGCGTGGAAGGAAAGTAACAAAAGCAAGCAAGTAACAAAATTAAATTAACTCTGAGATGAGTCTGGTAGGAGATACAGGCATCATGCCATAAGAATGTAACAAGAGTACCTTGATCTAACCTCTAGTGGGTGCACAAAGGCTTCTCTGAAATGTTGACACCGGAATGGAGTGTGGAGAGTGAGAAGGTATAACTGAGAAGGCTAGGATGGGCAGAGATTCACTACCGTTGGAGGCTTTCTGTATAGAGAAATGAGGCTCTTTTGCAGGCAGAATTTATAATGTGCTAGCATGATTTCTGGAAATTTTCCTAAAATGCAGACAAAAGAGTCTTGAATATCCCCAAAAAAGTTTTGGTACAGTGTTGGCTTCTTTATCTCCCTTATGAGGTGGCTTACATTCTGAATGAGTACTTTACTGGTTATGGGGACTTGACCCATTTGATGAAGCAGAAACACTAAATAATTAGGAGGGTGGAAAATATGAGCAGTAGGATGTAACAATTCTTTCTCTGTGCTGCTAGCTCCCAAATAATGACATGGAAGCTATTATTTATGAAAGCTCAGCCTAAAACTTAGGTTCGTTCCTAACTAGCTTTTATAACTTAAATTAATCAATTTATATTAATCTATGTTCTGCCACGTGTCTTGTGGCTATTAATGCTCCTCCTGCACACCCTACTTGCTCTGTGTCTTCTCCTTCCCAGTGTTCTCTCTGCTTTGAAGGCCCACCTATCTCTCCTGCCTAGCTATTGGCTGTTCAGCTTTTTATTACACCAATTACAACAACACATTTTCACACAGTGTATAAATATCCCACAACAGTAGGAAGAACTCTGTGTGTGTGTGTGGGGGTGGTGGTGGTAATGTGGGTTAAAGTTGATGAGTTAACCAATCCTAGAGTCCATAGCTTAGATTTTGTGTTAGAATCTTAAATCCAGTGGGAAGTCATCAAGGGTTCTAAGGAGAGAGGGCAAAATTAGATGTTATTTGTAAGTAGTATTCCCTATGTAGGGTCAACAGTAGATGCAAAAACAAACATGGACATAATGTCACAAGCTTGAACGCTATTGTAGATGTGTTAGTTAGGCTGAGGCAGGTGGATCTCTGTGAGTTTGAGGCCAGCCTGGTATATGAAGTGAGTTCCAGGACAGCTAGGGCCACACACAGAAAAACCCTATCTCAAAAAAAAAAGACACACACACACACACACACACAGAGACAGACAGACAGAGAGAGAGAGAGAGAGAGAGAGAGAGAGAGAGAGAGGGAGAGAGACGCACACACACAGTACTGTGAAGGGTTTTTACCTTGATGAGGAAGCTATTGTGCCATTTCATGGGATGAAGAATACTAAAATATATTTGAAAGGAAATAGGTGTGTCCAACGTTAAGATACCTTTTTTGTTGAAAATTAATAGCTTTAGCCTTATCCAATAGTGGGTATTTATTGAGATGAGTCTATTTGGTGGTGTTCCTTTGGAGCTCTGTCTGGTAATGTCTGTCATTGCCAGATAGTATGTCATTTGCTTCCTGCCTGAAGAGTATGCAGCTGCCTTTAGTACAGTGATGCAAAGTGGGATTGTGTTTCCTGGTTGCCAGCTCTTTTGTCATAAGCCATTTCTTTGACCTCTGGACAAGCCTTGTCTCCTGAAGCTTAAACAAACAAAACAAGACAGTACTCTTATGGGCAAGAAAGGGTTAAAGTTAATGTAAATGTTGATGAGTTTATACTCTTTGTGGACTGTTTCTTTCCCACCTGGTCTTGTTTCTGGTTAGTCCCAAATAAACACACAGGGCCTTATATTAATTATGAACAGTTAGGCCAATGGCTTAGGTTTCTTAGTGGCTAGCTCTCTCTTAATTATTAACCCATTTCTATTAAACTATGTATTGCAATGAGGCTGTGGCTTATCTGTAATCCAGCATGTTACCCCTTCGGTAGCTATATTTCATCTCCCTGCCAGCTTCTCTCTGCCTCCTCTCCCCAGAATTCTCCTTGTTTGGTAGCCCTGCCTATACTCCCTGTCTGGCTACTGGCCAATCAGTGTTTTATTCATCAACAGATATGAGAAACATATATACAGAAGGACATTCCTCATCAGTGGAGTGACTTAGTGTCCAGCAGTGCTGTCATAAGTGTTTTTCCATGTACTTTAACTTCCCTGCCCACTAGCTGCTCTGCATAGATGGTTAGAGTCTTTATGTAATTCAGACACCTTGCTAATCCTAGTGACCTGATCACTGACCAATTTAAGTAGTTTTAGTTTCAACTCTTTCATGAAAACTTTTGACATTGTAACTTAAGAAAATAGCTCTCATTCCCTGGAATACACTTATGTAATATGAAAATATAAACTTTTAAAACCATTTATTTTTATTTTGACCTTGGCTACTCTCTGCTTTTTCTTATGTTTATCTTAGCTGCATTGTATCCTCAGTTAGTGAGTACAGTGACTGTCCTATCCCCATTTCCACTGCAGAGTAAATAGAGCATCTGTCTGGCATATATTTGAATGCTTTATAAAAACTGAGCAAAGGTGACTAAGACCCAACTTTTGCCCCAGTCAGTGTTTAGGGTTGGATGGGACAGGAGCAGACGGTTGAGCATAGTATAATATTGGGAAACTATAATATCATGGGTTGGGCATTAGAGGGGATATCAGTCCTGGGGAGTTGATAACTTGATGCCAGTCTCAAGTGTAAGCCATTTTGAGCAGCATAAGTATAAGTAGTTCTAGAACCGTTGTTATATGTGATGTGATATGATATGATATGATATAATAAGAAAAATCTAGATTTGAGTAAGCATTCATGTTGTGTTGTTCCATCAGATAGGGTCTCATTATATCTCTGGCTGGCCTGAAACTTGCTAACTTGTAGACCTTGAATTTATAGAGATCCACATGTCTCTGGCTCTCAACCCTAAAATGTGAAGGTGTGGGCCACCATGCCCAGCCTGCTTTGTTTCTATGTGTTATTTAGAGACAGAGTCTTGATTCATAGTGTAGGATGCCCTGGAACCTTACTGTATGAATCCTAGGTGTGCCGCAGAGTCTTTGCTACTGGACTACTAGTTAGTGTGCACGACCATGATGGGATTTTGTCTTAGTTAGAGACCAGTTAAAATGTGCCCCCTGGGGACTTGGCCAAACTATTTATTTAAAAGATGGGAGTATGGCTGATTACATGCTCTTTGTTCGAAGATGTGTGAACAGTTAGTGCCAGAATTAACTCATTCAAAAACACTTGTGTTCTTAGGAGTACTTATTTATTATAATCATTTGTTTGTTTGTTTTTTGTTTTTAAATAGGCAAGAGACACTAATATATCAAGTTACCAACTTTTACAGGGAGACTTTGTGTTGGGGCCAGGCATTCAGATACTATTAAGTTGTGGACCTGTTATGAGTATGTTTTTCCAGCAGCTTGGTCTCACAGCCGCACCAGCCCCAAATTAACACACAGAGATGCTATATTAGATATAAAGCTGTTGGCCTGTTACTAGCATAATTTATTGGCTAGCTCTGTCTTAAATATTAACCCATTTCTATCAATCTTAAGTATTTCCACATGGTCTTATCTTACCGGAGAGAGGGCCTGGAGTTCTGCTCTCTCAGTCCTACATGTTGAATCTTTTCCCACTTCCTCCAGAATTATTCTTTCCTAGTCCTGCCTATCTTGCTTTTTTATTGGCCAACAGGACTTTATTCATTAGCCAATAAGAGAAACATATTTAGAGAATGACATCTCCCATCATGAACTTTGTCATTGGGCTCATGACCTGACCCAGACATGCTCTTCAGTGGCATTTGAGGATGCAGCATGCTGTGTCACTCTTTTCTTAAAGAAGCCATGGAAAGTTCCATGTTCCATCTTTTAGAAATTGGTATTTGTTCTGCTAGGTTTAGGTAATACAAAGCTATGATTTGATCTCTCCCATTGTAGCAGAGCATACAGACGAGTAGATGATTATAGTACACAGGAGAAGTACAGATGGAGAGAGAGGGAAGGAGAGAGAACACAAGTGAACAGAACACGGGAGGACGAGGTTAGGGTAAGTTGAGATCTCTGTAGGTCATAGTGTGAGGCTTCTAAACCTAAGCAGGACTAGGAAGTGGCTGGACTACTCTGTAGGGGTGTCCTTGGCCTTCCAGAGTCTGAAGTGCTTCCGGTAGTCTGTACTGATTGTTCTCTTCTTCTTTACACCAGGTTATGGAACACCATATGGTTACAGCACTGCTGCCCCTGCATATGGTATGTATACCTTTTTACTGATTCCTCTTAGCACATCTGTCACAGCACCCAGAACATAACTTTGTAACCAGGGTTTCCATAAACAAGTTGGAGGTTCTCAGATCTAATCATTCTAGTGACCAACTTAAATTCCCTCTAAAAATGCCACAACCTTGTGGTTCTTGGTTTGGTTGAAGTTGCTCTTCTCTGCTTTGCCTGATTGGAGAACTGCTTGTTCTTATTGCCTGTTTCTGACCATATTGAAATTAAATATTTGAAGTAATTCTTACAGCCAACCTATACTCCATTCAAAGGCTACTGAAGGGCCACACCCAGTTTTTAGTTTAGCCACTAGCAACATGGCTGCATTGTTGCTTTTCAGTATGGGATTTTATGTAGGTTATTTAAGTCAAGCAAAGGAAGCCATCACTTCAAATCTGGACCTAGTAGTGTTCACTATACATTGCTTTGGGAATGGGTAGATGTCATTGGTCCCACAGAGATGCTGGGGTTTATTGTCAATGTTAACATGTTCCTTCTTCCAGAAGTAGGTAGCTGATGTTAGAAAATCCTTGGTTTATCACTTTTTTCCTTTACAAAGTAAAAACTAGCAGCAGATGAGTGAATGAACCCTAATGGCCCTTTGGATAACTTTTGAATGAGGTTTATGTGGCAATGGAGGCAGTAGGTTTGGAGTCAGTGATATGCTCTTAGATATCTTTCGTAACTCAGGTGCTCTATGTTATGGAATCAGCTACCATCTACAGGATGCTTATTAATGAGAGAAGAGAGCAAAAGAATGTGTGCGAGTGTGTGTCCACACAGCCCAAACCAGTTGTGTATGCATGCACAAGGAAGGCAAAGGTCGTCCTTGCATCGGTGTTTGTGGCATGAATCCTCTACATGAGCTCAGACCTTCACCTTGTGCCTTTTCACAATCAGCTTTACCATTTTTATTTTGATAGCAATTAGAGTTTTATAGTTTGGCAAGGGTCAAATGCATGTAGGAAGGGCTTTACCTGGTTGATTCCTCTAGCACACTCCCATGTGGCTTGGGCTTCCCCATAGTCTCAACTAGAATACTCTCAGATATGGGAGTTGGGGACTAGTCCAAGAATATATTTTTAACCTACTACAGTTCTTTCTGAATTTAGACTGTCAGATTCTCTTTTAGCTTGACCATTAGCATTTGCCCTTTCTCTCTAGCTTTTGAATGACCCGAATACTTCATCCTTACAGAGTCAGTCTGTTAACTCAAGCACAACACATTTGACACCCAGCACCAGAGTGTCTGATCTGAGCCTATGTCAGTCATATAATAAGATGAATTCTAGTAAAGCATTGCTAGAGACATTTTCTTAAAAAAAAAAAAAAAGGGTCTTTAAACTCTTTGGTTACACCTGTGTTTTTCGTCAGTCTTTTACATTTTTCTTTCCTGGTCCATCCTTAACATGCTTTCTGCCTCTGGGCTTCTCTCTTTCATGTGCCATATAACTGACTTCCAAAGCTAGTGTAATTTGATGCCCCATTTTTCACATAAAAGATATGATTTTTAAATGTTATTGTGATGCAAATCTACTAAAAACAGTGCTTTATTTTGGCTGTAAGGTAAATATGTCTTTTGGCCTTTGTAAAGCTGTTGCATGTGGGGTTATCTCCTCTGATCATCTGGTGCTCTTGAATACCTGCTGTTGCTGCTTTGTGATTTCTCCTAGGTTAAACATCAGGATAAAGACGGGCAGATTTCAAATCCTCTTTAGTGTGCAGGAGTTTGTGAGGCCACAAGAACGTATTAATTACAAATTAAGGAAACTATTAATCTTTCCAGATTTGCCATGTCAAATTAGTGGTAGCCTATGAGAAGACAAATACCTGGTTGGTGGCTCTGGTTGAAGCAGTCTTTACTGGGAGTTGAGGCCCAAACAGAAAGACTTATATCTTGACATGTTTCTCCTTAATGTGTCATATGCCATATGCATTTCCAGAGTCACTTTAGGACAAAAATGTTAATGAACTAGCATTGCTTTTGATCTTTAGAATTCATGTTTGCTCACTCAGATGTCATTTCTGAGTATTGTTCTGTGATACAGGCATTTTACTCTTGAGCAGAAAACATTATGTATCAAGATACAAGAGCAATTGATTTGTGAGGGATTTGTGGGCCTCTTCCAAAATGGTATAAAATAGACTGACTAATCTGGAAATGGTTAAAGATAATTATTGTAAGAATTTTTTAACCTGAAATTTTTATTGGAGTCCTCTCCGTTTCTTTTCTCTGTAGGTTTGCCCAAGAGAATGGTTCTGTTACCCGTTATGAAATTCCCAACATATCCTGTTCCCCACTACTCATTCTTTTAGCCAATGACAGAAGCTCATTCCTATTGAACAACAGTACAGTACAATGCAGAATGTTAGAGAAAAAGCCTTTTTATCCTGCTTTCTTTGAACATACTTGATCAAAATTATTTGTAAAGAACATCTTTCCTACTTTTTGATTTTAACAAATGCAAATTCAGTTCTCTAAAACTTGAAAACAAACAAAAAGAAACCAGTTCTGTGAAACGGTACCTCATTCCTGGAAATAATTTATACCAGCCCCTTCGTTGTAGGGAAGTAAGTCTAGCAGCTCAAAGTTGACGTTCTCAGAGAATATCAGATTATGTAAAGTTAAATTTGTGAAGGATGTATAGAGTCTCAACACTGATCACAAATAAACTGCTTTGTTGTAACACAGAGTACTGCCTGGTTCCTGATGCAGCCATGGATTCTTAGCTGATTGATGTGCTTGCCCCAGGGCACTATAATTTGGGCTGTAGTTACTATTTTTTTTTTTTTTAAAAAACATTAGAAACTTTTCATTTAAACTTTAACTTTGTAAATAATGAAGTGTGTAACTAAAGCCAATAAAATATGAGTTTGGATATTGTTTTAGCTTATTATTTTTGATATGTTTTGCTATCAAATTTCAAGAATTACAAACTAATAATAATTTAGCCCTAGAAACCCATTCATTTGTAAGCAAGCTGCTAAAACAAAAGCAGAGATGATTGTTAGCCTGACTCAGTCTACTTTCTTTGTAAGCTCTTTGTACTCCAGTTGTACAAGAGCAACCCAATGAAAGGTTACATTCTGTTATCCCAGCATTGCTTAGTAAAATGATGGCACCACCCAAAGGTGGGGAGGGAGGATTGTGATTATTTCAGTTTACGAATTTCCAAGTTAAAAAAATAAATTAATCAATCACCCTCTTTTGTTCTTGTGGCCTTCTTCACTCTGTAAGACTCTGTTCACTCCTTTTTCATAAAGGTAGATGATTAGCAGTTTTTCTGGGATTCCTTGAAGGGTGTCCTTTCCTCTTCAATGATATCAGAATCTAAAGCAGCAACAGGACCCCCATAAAAACTTGCTCTCCGATTGTCCCAGTTCTTGTTGAGTGCTGCTGTGAAAAGTGACAGGTTTCAGCCATGGGTCAGCATTTACTTTTAAGACACCTGGTTACATTGGTGGGAACTGAGTCAGTAACATTGTGCTGTTGTGTGAAGGGTGCAGACCCAAGTCTTCACTTGCGTTCTCACCTTGTTTGGAAAGCTGATGATGTTACTAGAAGGTAATGGTTTCATTAAAGTATTCACCCCCATTCAGATGACAATGTAGACATTTACAAGTTACTGTGTCTTAAAGATGAGTTAGTAGGGAATAACTACTTTGCTGTTGAATTCCTTTTCAAAACCAAGCAGTGCCCATCACTTTAAAGTGGTTTTTACTAACTTACATGCAAGGCTCCTTTGGAAGAAAGGACAAGATGGGCATGGAGGCACTTCTCAGATGTATATTGCACAATCATTTATTTCTTTCTTGACCCTTTGTTTCTACTAGTGGTGGGTGATACTTTAATAAAACCTTGTCACTTGCTGGAAATAGCTTTAACTTGTCATTCTCATCATTAGTGGCAAGACATAATAGAGCAGGGCGCCTTCTCAGCTGGGAGTTTTCATGTTCATTGATTTGTTTCGCTGACCTATGGATGAAACAGAGCCATCACTGAGAAGAAAAAGCATGGCTGCTAGTGTTCTGTTTTTATTAATTAACTATTTAAAGTGGTCTTCTGTTTTTTAAACACTATTAATTGGCAGTTGCAGTTGTATTGTTACTTGAAATTGATCATCAAATTTGGACTCTAGGCTGGAATTTCCCTAGAGATTTCTCTTGAGAAAATACTTTGTAGTCTCTGACTCTGCCTCATAACTCACCCTCTCTCAGATGGAGGAGGGAGCTGTGCTGTTCTCCAACATGATGGCCGTCATTTCAAATGGTTCCTACCAAGTCTTCCCCCCTTTCTTCTTAATTTCATTGTTTGTTAGAAGTTACTAACCATGTTGTAAATCTGCCGAGTTGCTGCAAACTTTTACATTTCTCTGCTTTACTTAAAACAATGGAGCTGTCAACCCTATGTTAGAAGTGGTAACCATGCAAATTCAGCTGTTTAAATCTGTAACGAATTAAGTGTCCTCCCACCTTTTGCCCTTCCCACCCCTCATTTTGTAATGAAAATTCCACTTACAGCTGAAAGAGCAGAGAAATATAAATGAAGCTCTTAGCTTCATCCAGTTGTGTGAAATTAACGTAAAGCTCTGCTTCTCTGCTCTCTTCTCCACTGTAGGTGGTTTTTTCATTGACAGCCCCTATTGCCAGCCTCTGAGCGTCGCACCATTTATTATTCACTTGGGCCCTCAAGATTTCTTCTCTGACTTCTAGAACCATCAGGTTGTCTGGCTTGAATAGCAATTTCTATATCTTGGTCTTAAGAGCAGTGTGACCCCTGAGGCTTTCCAGCTTTCAGATCCACTACTCTAATCCTTTTTAAAAACAATGACTGATGATTTTACAGAAGAGCAATACTTTGTCCAAAGCCACAATGTCTCTTTTAAAGCTCTCCTTTTGGATATGTAGCAATATCTAATGTAAACCTTTCAGTGTAGGTCTTGTCAGGGAGTTTACAGATTAATGTAGAACTTAGAATCTGTGTATGAGCTATGCTGTCCTCTGACACTTTTTAATCATTTTTAGCTCGAACTCTTACATTTTTGATTGTCCAGCTAAGCAGTATTAGAATTTATCCGAGACAGGTGTCATTCCTAAGCCATATCTTTTGGTGGGGGCCAAAGCTTCACCAGAGGTGTGGCTGGCAACCTGTGTCCCTTAAGGCTGCAGGAGTGCCCCATCTCTTGTGCCCATAATGGTTCCATAGATTTCCAACATACCTCATGCTGATGAGGTTTGGTGCATAGTATGGTGAAATAAAGGGGTTGGGTTTTTAAAGTAGCTCCTGATGTTGTTATAATATCTCAAATTGGTAACCTTGGGAATGAAATACTGATCATGCTTGGATCAGCCTTTTTGAAAAAAATTGGGTGAATGTTTGAAAATCATTAATCAGTCACCATAATGAATTGAAGAGCTGGGAATACCTCGTTAATGTATTTTTAAAACTGGTGTTGGACCCTCTGTGTATTTCAGGTTAATACTTTTAAGCAGTTTTCAGCACGTTTATCTCACTTTATTCTCGTTCTCCTCGGACCTCCGTAGCCATATCACTTGTATAAGATAGGCTGAGATATAGTGACTGTAAGCTGTGATCTCAGTACACAAAGGTAAGCTCTTTTATTTTCTGATTAAAGAAAAAAAAAATAACCAATTAACACAACCTGCATATATGACAATCATACGATGTATTTGATCTCTTAGGTCTTATGTCACTGCATTAACTTTAAATTTTTATGGTCTAAATGTAAAATAGTAATTTTCAGCATTTGTTTGAATACTCTTGTAAATGCTTTTTATTCAAGAGAAACATTTCACATTCACTGACCAAGTGTATGTGGGTAGAAACTTAGGATATAATGTATATGTAAATTATACATACGGAGGCACTTGTTTGAATATAATAATTCAGTGGTAGGAACACTTTTAAGAAGAATCAAAATGGTGCCAGGGCACTCTGTTGGACAAGAAGGTGGGATTTCAGGAGCAGGATTCATGTGTGCAGTACCTACACAGGCTGAGGGTGTAAGTGCCAATCTCTCCAGAAGAGAACCTTTTCTGACCTGTGCTGCATACTCAAACACAGCAACAGCGAGAAGCCATTAATGGGGAAAAATAAAGCAATAGAAAAATAAAAAAAGGACAAAACTATTAACTGTGGGAAATATGTGTAATTAGCTGAATTAAGCTAATTATGTGTAGAATCAACTTGAGCAAGTCTCAGAAAGGTGATGCTGAGTCCACAGAAACCAAATCTACTTAAGGAATTTGTCTCTCTTCCAAGTTAGGTGGTAGCTAGAATATTATTTCTCATTGTATTGAGTCATCGACAGAGTTCATTTCATGGATGTGGGGTTAGGTCAGATCATTAATAAGGATTTGTTTAACTTAGTGTACCCCATAGATACACTACACTATGTTAGATGTTTGTACTCAAGCTGTATTTATAGAGATAGATACATACAAATAAATTTGATGTTTTACAGTTCTCTAGCAGTTTCTGTTCATTAGTATAAGGTTGCTGGAACAACTTTGTTCCCAAACAGAACCTGTAGTTTATGAGATTGGCTTCTGCTAAAGATTGTACAAGGCAGAACAGAGAGCAGTGCAGTGCAGAACAGAGTATAGTAGAGAGCAGTGCAGAGCAGAGAGCAGTGCAGATCAGAGAGCAGTGCAGATCAGAGAGCAGTCAGTGCAGAGCAGAGAGCAGTGCAGATCAGAGAGCAGTGCAGTGCAGAGAGAGCAGAGCAGAGAGCAGAGAGCAGTGCAGAGCAGAGAGCAGTGCAGATCAGAGAGCAGTGCAGATCAGAGAGCAGAGCAGAGAGCAGAGAGCAGTGCAGATCAGAGAGCAGTGCAGAGCAGAGAGCAGTGCAGATCAGAGAGCAGTGCAGAGCAGAGAGCAGTGCAGAGCAGAGAGCAGAGCAGAGAGCAGTGCAGATCAGAGAGCAGTCAGTGCAGAGCAGAGAGCAGTGCAGAGAGAGCAGAGCAGAGAGCAGAGAGCAGTGCAGAGCAGAGAGCAGAGCAGAGAGCAGAGAGCAGTGCAGAGCAGAGAGCAGTGCAGAGCAGAGAGCAGAGAGCAGTGCAGAGCAGAGCAGAGCTGTGCCTCAGCCCCAGCCTGTTGATGCCTTTTCTGGGACCAGGGAATAGAGGCTCTGACAGTGGGAACATCTGAAGTTTGAAAAGTTTTCCTTGCTGGTCAAATTGATTTTGTTATAATTAAGTACTCTAATTTGGGAGATAATGTATTAACAGTGGCAAAAGTTAGTTTAATTATAAAATACTAAATATCGTAGGCATCACAAACTTTATGTTATTTGAGATTTCCTCAAGTAGCATATTTCCCTGGCATCTTTGAGGACCTGAAATTCTCTGGTTGTGCTACTTATGCGCTATCCAAATGTATGTTTGGAAAATGGGCTCAGCACACATTGTAGCCCTGCTTGGCAGTAGTCTCTGTAGTCATGCAAAGAACACAGTGGTAAATGTAAACCCTGGACTACATTCTATCAGTGGCAGGTGAGTGTTAACATTATAATAAATCACTTGTTGTATTTTTCCTGATTATTATTTTTCACTAATGATTAGAGTGGAAGAGAATAGTCAATAAATACTAAGGGTAATTAGCTAGAGAAGTTTTCTCCCCAAGCTGTGTGGAGCCTGTAAACCAGGAGCTTTGTGAGCAGAGCGACATCTGAAAGCAGCCTTCTCTGTGAAAGATCTTCCTTTCATTTCCACCCTTTTAATGCCAGGGCTTCCCCGATTCACCCAGAAAGGTATCATGACATTTAGAATTATTCTCTGCAACATCTGATGCCATGTAGACAGTGACCATGGGTTCCTTAGTATTACTGGGAGGGAGATGGGTAGGGTGTCAGTGACAACAGCCCACCTAAGCACCTGCAGTTTAAGATGAGCATCGTCATGGATGTGTGTCTCTGTAGCACTTAACAGCACAACATGCACTGGTTAAAGACCCAGTCCCTTCTAATGGTATCTTACAGAAAGGCTATTAAGCAGAGAATTCATGTTGGATTAGTTGCACAAATATCCTTTCCTATGTTACCGTCATTTCAGTTAGGAGCTAACAGCTTCCTTTAATGTTTGAAGCAATGATCTTTGGAAGTTTTTAAAAATAGAACCATAATGCGAATTGGGTTATATAAACTTTACAGCACAGATAGAGATAAGGGCTAGAAACTATGGAAAATCAGGTCAAAGCATTTCTCTCACTCCAGTCCATCCTCTAGAGTTTGGAAATCTGATGAGTTCATATATTCAAAGCTTTTAATGTTACCTAGCATGAAGGAAGTACTTGTGAATGCTGACTCTGCTGTTCTGGTTGAGGCCAAAGGATGGATGTGAGGGAGGTGAGGCTATGCTGGTTAAGCAGCAGGTGCATGACCTACTCAGGGGAGAGTTGGGCTTATTCCTTTGTGTTCATAGGCTTTGGCTGCCCCCAGCTGAGCCTAGCCTCAGCAGGAGTGATTTGCTCATATTTCTGCTGCAGCAGTTAAACCAGCCAGCTTGCAGCCCAGAGTTTGTAAATACTTGTTTGGGATTTATCGGTGCTTTGAGTTTCACAAGGGCTGAACTTTCACCATTTATCTGCTGATTCAGTTTTTCTAGCCACACTTCAGTAATAAAAAGCTACAAAGGCCAGAATCTAGTCTTGATGGCTTGTGTTTGGTGGTAGAGAACAAGTTATTATAAACTAAGGAGAAAAAGAACCAAGGAAACACCCAGGACGCTGTTGACTCAGATTCGTGTGAATAGTCCCTGTACCTTGTTTTAAGGTACATTAGTGGAAATCATCTGCACTCACCACCACATGAGGCATCCCTTCTGTCTGAGACACTTAGGGCATTAATCTATTATATCTCTTTGTCTACTTAGTTGGACATAATTGGTAAGTTTCTGTTGAATACAAGGGCAAGTGGGGTGATGATGAAGTTGCTATACTTCTGAACTGAATAAAGGGCCTGTGTCTACCGTGCAAGTGCTGGCTCACACATGTTTGCAAAGATTTAAGGAACCTTAGAAGAAGGATGGACAGGTTGAGTCCCAAGCTGGTAGTAGGAGGTGAGTTAAGCAGAAACAGATTGAATTCTAAAATGCTGAATTTTAGAAAAAAAAAATGTTTGCACAAGGATTAACTATAAGGTGGCTGGTAAATTAGACTAGTGTTACTTGGTAAAAGTTACTTTAGGTAGATTATTCATCTCATGGCGAGCATTGCAAAAAGAATACACACAAACACATACACATACACACACACACACACACACACACACACACACACACACACACAGGCCCAACCCCCCAAAACCAAACAAAAAACCAAACCAGAACAATTCTGACCAGTTATCAGAGGAGGATCGTGGTCTTTCTACCTAGTTGGGTGGTGTAGATTGTCTACCCTGTTGCTCGTGTGGCAATAGGGTAGACTGAACATCCTTACTGGAGAGGAATGGTCCACAAGTGTCCCCCTCTATTGCTGTATGGCCAACATGGGCACATCCAATCATCATTGCAGTTAGGACACTGCTGCTCCTCTTTGTTGGAGCTTCTCCTTCTTTGTTCCCTTTGTACAACTAACTGTCCCAAGTAATTTTTCTTCATAGGACTTAGGCTTGACCAACATTTTTACATCATAACATGTTGTCATCTACAGTCTTATGTTTACATACAAACTACATAAAATTCTACAACAAAATTGATGGAGGAACTGTTTTGGGAGTGTGAGTAGTAGATTTAAAAAGCCAGAAAGGGAACGAGGAAGGAACAGTATACCCTGAAAAACAGGGATTTTTATACTTTTTTGTGGTGCTGGTAGGGTGAGTGATGATAAAAAGGCTATCTAACAATGAATAAAGAGAAGGAACTCAGTGGGCTGTATAAACAGGATGCTAAAGCTAAAGCTTTTTTTTTTTTTTTTTTTTTTTTTGGGTTTGGATGAAATATCAAAAGGCTGAGACACCTATTTTTAATAGGCTCTTTTTCTGGATATATCCTCTGCCTGCCTGAGGAAGGTTATGGAGTTGGATGAGGTAGAAACCAGAGGTTTGGGGTAAGAAGGTAGACCTGCTCAGGTACAGGAAGGACAGTGACACATCAAAAGGCCCATGCTGAATGCTAGAGAATGTGACTCTTCACTCCACCTTAGATAGGTCTGGGTTCAATGAGCCTGGCTTGAGAGTCCTGGGGTCTCTGGATATATCTGTTTCTCACCTTGTTGCTTGCAGACCACTTCCCAACTTCATTGCCAGTTGCTTAGTGGCAGAGAGATTTGAGGATGGAATATAGAACCCCACCTTGCCCATGTCCTTGTCATCTTTGACAACTGACAAGGGAAGAGCTCTGTCCTACATTCTTGAAGGATAATTGAAAGAATCTTACTCTAACCAAGTTCTAGAGCATCAAAGTATATGAAGGAATATGAGGCCCTGTTCTGGGTGGGATACAGAGCACTGTAGCATCCTCTTCCGTTCTGTGATCCATTTCTAGCTCCAAGTCTAGAGGAGTGTTGCAAGGATTATCGTTCTACAGGCATCAAAAGCCCAGAGGTCTCTTCAAACAACCCTGCTTGTCTGTGGTAAAATCCTTTGGCTTCTAACTAGTGAGTATTGAGCCACACAGAGGAAATACCATTTGTTGTGCTGTTCTGAGGGTTAGCAGAAACTCTCCTAGGGGATTGGTTTTGAGTCCTGCAACTTAAGGACCTAGAAGTTTGTCCTTAACTAGGGAAGGGCTTTAGGTAAAGTGAATTTCCCCAATTACATAGTGCTTGGTGGCATAGTCCACACACTCTTGACTGCTTTGCTCAGCTGGTTCTGTGCATTTCTTGCCACCCTGCTTCCCAAGATTATTTGGTAGCAGTGTCCCTTCTTGTCTCTGGTACATTCTATTTCCTTTTCTTCCAGACTTTGGGACTATACTGTGTGTGCCTTACAAAATAGAACAAACAGAACCAATCCACCTCTCCTGTTCCCTTTCCTGTCCTAGCTCATGCTCTCCCTGGTTCCCTTGGAAATGGATTGTGAATCAGCTCTAAGTCAGAAATACTGTTTTTTGCTAGCTGCACATTGGGATATTAATGGTCTTCTGCTGTTACCAAAACCGTATGTAATAAAATGCAAACTTAGTGGATTCTGCTTGGAGAGATCCCAGGCTTTTGGAAATGTGATTGGGGGAGGGGGAGCGTATGGAGGTGTCTGTGTGTCAGAGGATGCTGGTCAGTCTGCATGTGCTTAACCAAAGGGTCATCTTCACAGTTGTATTTTTCCAGAGCAGTCTAATGCAGGGCTCCACTTTGTAAAATATCTCATACCTTTTGAGGTTACACTGAGAAAATTTATGGATGCCATCTTTCAGAACATTAAAACAAAATATGGTTGCTGCCACTTGAACTCAGAAGGGCTAAAAATTACCTGGAAATAGGATCAAAGGACCAGTATGTCAAGGCTAGTGAAGGGGAGTGGCCTTGGATGAGCATGGACACTTATTACCACTTATTTTAAAGGGTTTTATTGACTTGTATGTGGTTCCAGAGTGGTAAAGGCAGCTATGAGTGGCCTGGTGGGCATTGTGACATGAAGTTACCACATGAGGGCAAGCGAAACTGGTTCAGAAGAACATGGAGTTGTGACCACCATGGTATGTGTTCTTATGAACTGTGTTTGGTGGTACATGGGGAAGATTGAGTTCACGAGCAGCCTAGGCTTTGTCATGAGACCCTGTCCAAAACAAAACAAAACCCAGCTAGTTGTTTGGATAGTACAGGAAACAAACAAAAAACCCAAAAAACTGCCATGAGTGTCCATCTGACCCACTCCTGACAGGACCGGGTGACATTACTCTCTCTTGAGCTGGATCTGAGGAAAAGCTCTCTACTTTGGGTGGGTTTTTAGCTTAGGAGAACTCAGGAAAAACACAAGACCACCAGCAGGTATAAGGTAAAGGCAGGGAGGCGAATGAACGTCAGGAGGTTTGTACAGCATTAGATTTGTAGTGGGATTACCATAGCTAGCAGCTCCATTCCACCCCTCCTGGATAGTATTCCTGGGTTCAGGGTTGAGATGTCTTGCAGGGACATTTTCAGTTTTACAGACCAACTGTGAGTTGACTCACTGCATAGGGAGGGTATACAGCTGAGTCACAGTTGCAGTAGCCCGTCCAAGTGACCCAGGCCACCTACTGGGACAACACAGAGTAGTGAGGAGTTTGGAGTTACCTTGGCTGGAGAAGCCTGCCAGGCCTTGTGAATATTGGGACTGGAATGGTTACCAGGTGAGGTAGCAGGTTGGGGGTATTTTTCAGAACAACTTTGTAAGAGCCCTGGGTGCTGTGTCCTTTGTGATTACCATTCTCCAGTGTGGTGAGAAAATTATGGAAGGACATCAAGACAGTCAAGGACCTTCTCATCATAGCTGATGAGAAGAGGGAAGAGGCTATTGCCATACCTAGATAAGGATGAAAGGAGTAGCTGGAGCTAGCAGAGAAGGGGCTTCTCTACTTCACTGAATAGGGCCTGCAGCTGATCTGCTTAAGCAGATGGAGCATCCCATTAGGGAGTGGCGCTGGCGCTGCCTATGAGCAGAGCAGTACCCATAGAGTTCAGAGCCACTGGGCTCCACTGGGGCTGTGGGTAGAGTCATGTCCTTTGACATCAGGCAAATTTGAAGTCAATTGACATTTTTACCTTTGTATTTTTCACAAGGCTGGGCTTGCAAGGCACAACTATGATAGGTACTGGATATTCCCTTTTTCTGGGGTTTGTCTTTTGCTTTCATTTAGATTTCAATTTTAAAATTTTAAATTTGTGTAAGGGTTAGTGCTTTTGGGGATTGTGCATCTCTGTAGAGTATAGCCTTTAGCCAGTGGGAAGGTGCATCATCTCTGCAGAGGTTCTTAAGGAGGGATAAAGCTATGTTGTTACTGAAGGATTTGCTCTGAGTTTTAGCTCTATTAGTCTCCATCTAGCCATGTCTCCTTTTCAGTGCTGGAAATTTTGTGTGTGTGTGTGTGTGTGTGTGTGTGTGTGTGTGTGTTTGGGGTTGGTGTTCAAAACTAGGGCCTTGCAGTTAGTAGGCTACTGTTCTACAGTGAGCCAGTCAGGTGGGGCTTGTGCACCGTTGAGTTTCTGTCACCCTGCTCCGGACTGTACCTGGAAGTAGACATTGTTTGGAGGCCCTAGGTCAGAGCTTTGAAAGGCATCTGTGACATCAAGCCTACCAGTCTTAGAGTAATGAGAACTCTAGGTCCACACAGATGTCATCTCCAGTCTGCTGCAGTGAAAACCTGGGCATTGGTGAGTGTGGTTGTGTTCAGTCACACATTACTTACATACTAGGTCATTACATCTGTCCTGTGGCAGCTTCCTGAGCTCTCCTGGTTAAGTACTGAGGATAAAGAAGATACTGATCCTGTCAGCAAGAAGTGGCAGATGCATACCACTGGCCAAAGAGTGTAACAGCAGGGTTAAGAATCTTCAGAGGAGGGAAGACTCAGTTGGGAATGCCCAAGAGAGGCAGCAACTATGAGGTTGAACCTAGAGGATGGCATGGTCAAGTGGAGAGGGTGTGTCACAGCCACAACTTAGTTCTGTTTCCCAGATGTACTTGAGCTAGATTGGGACAGGCTGTGTGACTGAGGGTCATGGATTATGCTCTGAGTGGTGAGCAATCAAGATGAGTTTAGGAGGGTAAAATGTCACTCTTAAGTATGGTAAACCATGACTACTAGTGTGTACCAGACTATCAAGGGTTGAGGACCTCTTTTGATTAGGATGAAGAGTGTAACTGGAGTGTTGGAAGGCTTTCTTGCCATGTTCTCTTAGTGGTGGCATACAGCAGTTTCATCACTCTTCAGACCTTTTCCTTCTTGTGATCCTGAAGGTCACTGACAATGCTTCTTTGCCTTACCTTTTTTGTATTTGGGCCAGTTTTGGCTTGAGACCTTGTATATGTAAGGGCAAATTGATGAACACCAGTAATCCTCCTCAACCCCACATCCTTCAGAACCAAATCACAGGGAAAAGGAGCTTTACAGAATGCAAACTCACTTCAGGCTTGACCTTGAAAATTTGTAAGGACAAGTGAATCCTAGGTCTGGTGGGCCCTCCTTGAAAGCTCCTCTCTTCCAGGTATATTTCCTTAGGGCATTTTTAGCCAAGTTGAAAGCAGCTTTCACTTAGAGAGTTACAGCAACAGTGGCTTGCTCTCAGTAAGGTTTTGTATTCTGCAGGAATTCTGCAAGGTGGTATGCTTGGGAGACATGCTGGTTTGTCATCTTCAGCCATGGTTAGCTACCTCTAGAGCAGTGGTTCTCAACCTTCTTGCAATTCATTTCTTCATGTTGTGCTGACCCCCTCCCCCCAACCATAAAAATGATTCTTATTGCTACTTCATAACTGTAATTTTGCTAGTTACTAGTTAGACTGTAAATAGTTTTTTTTTTTTTTTTTTTTTAAGATTTATTATGTATACAGTGTTCTGCTTGCATGTATGCCGGTACACTAGAAGAAGGGCACCAGATTGTGAGCCACCATGTAGTTGTTGGGAATTGAACTCAGGACCTCTGGAAGAACATCCAGTGCTCTTAACCTCTGAGCCATTTCTCTAGCATCCATAAATAGTCCTCCCCCACTCTCCTTGGAGATAGTTTGTCAAGGTGGTCCCCACCCACAGGTTGAGAACTTTTGCTCTTTAGAGCTGTGTTGCCTTGGATTTGCTGCCTGGTCATGTCTTGGAGATATGGGGTAGCTCTGAGGCCGATAGTAGCAGGAACATTCCTTGCATTTTTCTAGAGCAGTTTCTAGGTAAATGGAAGGGAAATTGATTTGTCTATGGAGGAGACTGGCTCTGCCTTTTGTAAACAGTGTATGAATTGTCCATAGCTGATATCCTTTTATTTGGCATCTAACCCCGTAGGGTAAGTCTTGTCATCTGGCACTGTCAGTCAATGATGGAGTTATGCCTGTTGACCATGTTCTAGTCTTCAGTTATTAAGCTTAATGCCATCTGTTTGTTTCCCTACTTTGGGAAAGAGATGATGGTCAAAATTGAAAAAAATAAATACATAAAAAGACAAACCTGGCTCTCTTTATGCTGTACTGGAAGCCAGAAAAAAGTTCATTTTTTGTCAGATAGTCAAAGAAATGAGTCAAGAATAAGGACAGTGTTCGAGGGTTTAAGAGTAGTTAGGAAGACTACCTTTACGTTTCTTCCTGTAACTTAGAAAGTTGCATTTCTAGTTTGTGGCTCCTTGCCTTCCTCTGAGTGGCTAATACACTGCACCCTTTCTGGCTGAGCATGCCTTTTTACTGTAGCCAAGGAACTTGGCATAAACATAAATTTCTGGTTTAGTGAACCAGTGACAAGACACAGGACTGAAGTAAACTTGTCCCCTGGACATAATCAAGATAGTGATAATACCCATCTATGAAGAAGGATTTGGATGTGAGCCAGGTAAGCCGACATTCTACAAGTACTCTATTACTTAACCCAAGGACAGAAGTGCTGCTACCAGATGCATGCAGTCCCTTCTCTAACATTCATCTTTTATGATCAGGCTAGCCTGGTGCCACCAGGTAGTTTCTACACCCCACAAGACATCTAAGTAGGACACTAAGTAGGAGTGCTGCTGCCCTCCTAGCTCACTTAACTAGGCAGCTTTCCAGCAATAGGCCACACCATGGTGCTTAACTGTCCATATTCCTGTTCCTGGAATGCACACTCAGTTGTAGAAACCACTAGGTGGAGCAGCACATTCTCATAGCCTGTCCAGGGCCCTTGCTCTGCATCCCAGGAATTAGGGGTAGTGCTGGCCTCAAAAAGCACAGCAGGGCGCTGGCAAGTACTTTCCTGGTCTAGGAGAAGAAAACCTTCCTGTTGCAATTACAGGTGGCAATTTTTTCCTCCAGGTTTTAGCTTATTCTGATCTGATGTTGGTCACATTGCTTAGGAGTCTATTGTATTTATTGTTTTCCCCAAGTACACGGTGTAAATACTATAATTTGCAGTGCAAAGTCTTTGGCAATAACTTCATGATGTATATACTATGTTTAAACATTGGAAACTACAAGCACCATGGACTGCCCCATGCCTTCTGGGCCTGTGGTGACATGCAGACGATGGACTTTACAAGTATCAGCATGGTTGAAAGCAGCAGCCTACATGTATGAACTTTCATCAGTTTCTCACCCAGAGATGCCTGGCCTTCGTCCAAGGGACCCTGCTGCTCCAAGCCCTGCAAGCAGCACCCACACTGTGGCTCCTTTGTGTTGAATATGTTGGACTCTGCCGTAGACTGACCCCTTTGTCTGGCTGCTGTGGTTTGTAATGTCTTGACGTGTTGCATTTCTTCCCCATTTGGATGAATAAAAATAAATGCAATGTATAAAATAGGAATGGACTGAATTGTTCTGTGCAGGACTCTGCTGAAAGAAGTTCCAGCGCCAGCTGCAGAGATGGTTCAGTGTGTAAGAAGAGCTCATTGTTCTTTCAAGAGTACCTGGCTCCAGTTCCTAGCATCACCAACAGCTGCCTATAACTTAATTCCAGTGGATCCAATGTCCTCTGTGGGCACCTGCACATGTATACATACTGAAACACATAAGCATATCAATAAAATTGAATTAAGTGCCATGCCAGCTCCACTCCCTTTCTGGGCCTATAAGGCAAACTTTGTTCATCTTAGCCTTTTCACTTAACACAGACTGATTATGTGCCGTGACATAATCACTGCTTTGGGCTGTGGACCCCCAAGGTCTGTATCATTTTTGCCATGTTGAATTTCCACTTGGCTCTAAATGGTAAGTCATGTTTCATTGGCGTGAAATCTAAACCTTTTTACAGCATTCACTTGTAACCCTTACAACTGTCCCATGGGTCGGCAAGACTTGGACATTAGGAGGAATAGAACTTCAATAGGGCTGTAGTAAGCAGCTTAACTCCAAAGGTGGTGAAACTCTTCCTCTAGCAGCCACTTGTGGGAAACCTGCTGGAGACCACTGTGACACCTGGTTCACCAGTTAGGTAAGTAAGTAGACAGTGGCACTGGTGTGTCTTGAAGCATCTTATAACTTAGGGCCCCATGTTTTCTCTGCATATCTTCAGCTTCAGGGTAGAGATTTCTGTCAAGATACATCCCTGAACATGGAACCCTTGAGCCTGGGAAAGCACAGAGCTAGCTAGCCAGCAAGTGTGAATCCTAGAAGTATGCCCTCTATCCTGTGAGCATTGAAAGAGTCTAAGCTGCCACCCAGGCCTGTCCAAGAGCATCTGCAACATGCTGGACCCAAGAAACACCACTCTGAGACAGTTCACAGTGGTTCTGGAGGTCTGGGCATAGTTAGGAAAGCAATACTGATATTCAGAGAAACGACAATAAGGAGTGCTAGTAGAGGACCTGGGTACTTACATCCCTAGAATGTAGAGATGTCAGGGACCAGCCAAAGAGTAAGGAGCCTCTGAAGACATACTTGCCTTGGCCACTGCTTTCCCTGTGTGAGCAAGTATCCCAGGGCCAAGGTGTTTGAGCTAACTCTGTTCTTCAGTTCTTTCCCTTGCACACTCTCGCTGCCTGAACCTGTATGTTCTTCCCCCATTTGGTTGGCAGTACATCTCAGCTCTGCCTGACGTGCACATTGTGGGCCTGACCACTGCTGGAGGACACGAACACGCAATCATAAAACTGCTATACAGAGCAATGCTGTTTGTACCAAAATATTTAATGAATATGGTGTTAAAATGAACAAAAGAAATAGTAATACAATTTTACTGGTTTAGATTTCAGTTCATAAAGTTGACGCACAAACTACCCTAGCACAATATCCACATACCTAGTTTTAGATGGACTTATAGCTGTTGTGGTAACTGAACAAGACATAGGAAGTGGTGATGGTCTGGAGGAGGTTTGGCCACTTGTTATCTTCCCCACTATAGATAACCTCATTAAGAATTAGTAAAGCCAACAGGGAAAGAGTAAACAATTCAAGTGTCCTTCTATATAAACCCTTGCCACCTCCACACAGCAGAGGACAAGAACCCCCCTGTGAGACTGCTTGTCAGCATATTACCACATAAATTAAGTCAAAAGATTTTGTTTCTTAATTTTAAAAAAGGTGCTAAAACCACCATTTTATAGCTTTGAGGTGAGACTCTGCAGCCCATCTGACCAGATCTACACTGCCACTCTGGGACAAAGCCAGCAAGGTAGGACCTTACAGTGTGTGCATTTGGACACACATCACTTGTGCAAACATTAGAGGTGAAGGAGCTCTTATCAGCTCCCACAATGGCAGGAAGTACAGGAAGTGCCTCACAGATGGCAAGTGGTACGATTATCAGCTGAGTCTGGGATTTAAACACTGTCAATGCCGGGTACTGGGAAAGGTGTATACACATACTACATACATATATATATATATATACACATATATATATATGTATGTGTATAAATATATATTTATACACACCTATATATGTACACATGACAGATTTAAACAAAGTAAGAGCTGTCCACATCATGATTGATTCAATCTCAGTCATGTGGCTCATTCCAGCCTTTTGAAGTTGTTTTGGAATCTAATGCTTAAAAAAAAAAAAAAAAAAAGACTATGAAAGTTGCATAGAATTGCTCAGAAATGTGAGTAATGCCAAACCAAAACCTGTGCACTATACGGGCTAACAAAATTAGGTGATTTGAGCCATTACTAAGTGACTCTTTTACTCAAGTGTTTCTTATCTCTCTGGGGGCCTCTGCCAGGACTGACAAATAGGAATTAATCTAATTTCTGAAATCCTGCCCCCAATCCAAAGGATAAAGCGTTTGTGTATGTGTGTGTGTATATATATATATACAATTTTTTTCTCCTTTTTTTTCAAATAAAGGGTTTAGAAAACAAAACACTAACACATTGGAGGATGCCCCACCCACCTCTGGCTGGGTGAGGTGTTCCTATACTGCAGAGAGGCCCTAGGGCACTCGGTGGCAGGCCCACATACATCCCAAGCATCAGTTGGGCTGGCATCTGCTGCGGGGGCCCTGGTCCACTGACCTACCAACATGCTATACAGCTCTGATCTAGGGACATTCTGGTCCTGTCCCAGAATCACACATCTGGCCAAAGAAGGCAACCAAAGGTGGCATGTTCTCTGGAGGTGTCTGGAGGCAGCAGCTGTTCTCAGCATGTCTCTTTCCCTTGAACTCCAGTTGCTGTCTTTATGGAGCTCAGTGTACGGTTAAACCAGGTCTTCTTGGCTGCCTGCACCTCACTGAGGGCGAGGCCCAAGTGATGTTCCAAGTCCTGTAGAGAGATAACGGAGAGAGTGAGCCTTTGCAGAGCTGAATCAAGAGCTCTGTCCACTCATTCTTCTGAGGCAGGTTGTAGTGCCTATGGATCTGGGAGCTTTCCTAGTAAAGACCTTTGTTGCCTAGTCTGTTATGACAGCCTCCTGATTCATCTAGTGAAGTCCTCTAAATCCAAATCACTCAGTACTAGCTGTGTAGTAGTTCCTATCCCCTTCCTGAGATCCCTTACTAGGCAAGCTTCTTTTCCCTTAGGCTGCTCCCTCAGCACAGAATGCTTATCATTCTTGTCCTGCAGCGGCTCTGTCCTTTCTCTGACCACAGTATAGATCCTACTCTACTATCTTGGTGATGTCTGATTGTCCTGGGCAGTCCCACAAACCCTCTCCCAGAATCCAGGGCAAAACCTGATAAAAGTGGATGTGTCCAGTAATGGCCTATGGCATTGGACAGCTGGTCTGGAGCTTTAGATCTGAACCAGGTTCCTGCCACTCATGCTGCCCCAGTGAAAAGATGGCTGGAGGCTCATATAAATTAGGAAATATGCCCAAGGTCACAAAACTTGTTAAGTGATGGGTGTTAGGACAAAAAGATTTGCATTTGTTAAGCCCCCATCCCTATGAATGGTCCTTCCTACAAAATATTTTTTACTTAGTACAGCCTGACAAAGATTAGGACTCTCATTTCTATATGGACACAAGGAACATTACTAACCCAGCCTGAGTGGGGAGCTACAGTTTTTAAACACTTGCTCTATGTATATCCCATGAAAAAGATTGAAGCTTTGTTCTCAATTCTTAATATGACAAAGTCTAGATCTGTAGTTCAGGCTAAATGTTTAAACATGCTCTGGTAGTAACAAGGATTGTGTGCTCACCAAAAGGGCTATGGTCATAGTTTAAGTGGTGGTGGGGAACATGACTTCCCAAACTACATAAGTCACTTCTGGGGTATCTAGTGCGCACTGGGAACCTGGACTGCCATGGAGTGTGGGTGCATTCACACACTGCTGTTACCTGGATCTTGCACTCAGCTTCTACCAACTGCAGTTTGGTCTGTGCCAATTCCAGCTCCATCTCCCGCAGCTGATTCTTGAGTGTCTCTTTTTCTTCATCCATGTCCTCATCCGAAACCCCCTTGGCTGAACTGGCACCCTTCACACGCCCTTCTTTGTTAAAGAAGTCTCGGCAGCGGTCACAGTCATCTACCTTTTGCTGAAGTGAACACCAGAAATGAAGAAACCTATACTGTATGTGCCTCAGTGTGTCTTGTGGGTACTATAGAAAAGCCTGTTTATCCATTGTGCCACTGGACCCGATTTTTAACAAATAAGCTAAATTATACAATGGAAAAAAGAAAGCATCTTCAACAAATGGGGCTGGCACAACTGGATGCGGACATGTAGAAGATTGCAGACAGATGCCTATCACCATGCACAAAATTTAAGTCCAAATGGATCAACGACCTCAATATCAATCCAGCCACACTGAACCTCTTAGAGAAAGTGGGAGGTACCCTTGAACGAATTGGTACAGGAGACTGCTTTCTAAACATAACTCCAGTAGCACAGACACTGAGATTGTTAATTAATAAACAGGACCTCCTGAAACTGAGAAGCTTCTGTAAGGCAAAGGACACAGTTGACAAGGCAAACGGCAGCCCACAGACTGGGAAAAGATCTTCACCAACCCCTTCACCACATCTGACAGGGCTGATCTCCAAAATACACAAAGAACTCAAGAATCTAGTTGCTAAAACACCAAATAATCCAATTAAAAAGAGACACTAGGAAAAGGGAAGGACCCCCCGGAGAAAGGGACAAGAGCTTCTGATCAAATTGGAAGTGTGGTGTGGGGGGGTGATAGGAGAATTGGGAGGGGAGTGGGGAGGAGAACATGAGGGGAGCAGGAAGATTGAGTCGGGGAAAAACAGAGGAGAGAAAGAAAAGAGATATTATAGGCTTAAAGAGAAATCTGGCACTAGGGAAATGTCCAGAGATCCACAAGGTGGAGAGGCTAGCTTAAATGCCCTTCCCCAATAATGAGATTGATGACTACCTTATATGCCATCCTAGAGCCCTCATCTAGTAGCTGATAGAAGCAGAAGCAGACACCCACAGCTAAACACTAAGCCATACTCCTGGAATCCAGTTGTAGAGAAGGAGGAGTAATGAGCAATGGGGTCAAGACCAGGCTGGATAAACCTACAGAAACAGCTAACTTAAGCTAGTGGGAGCTCATGAACCCCAGCCTGACAGCTGGTGAACCAGCATAGGACAGAACCCACATGCAGGCCTGGGCCTCTGACAGTGGAACCAGTATTTATCCCTAGTGTATGAATGGACTTCAGAAGCCCATTCCCCATGGAGGGATACTTTCTCAGCCTAGATACACAGGGGAGTGCCTAGGCCCTATCCCAAAATGATGTGACAGATTTTGCTGATCCCTCATGGAAGGCCTCACCCTCCATAGGGAGTGGATGGGGAATGGAATGGGAGGGTTGGTGCAGGTCATGGGAGGATGGGAGGGAGAGAGAACTGGGATTGATATGTAAAATAAGATTGTTTCTAATTTAAATAAAGGTTTTTTTTTTTTTTTTTTTAAAGCCTGTTTATCTTGGGAAACTGTCAGCAACCTCGTTCAAAAACCACTGGTTGGTGTTCCATGCCCAAAGCAATAAGAATACCCTTCATAACCTGTTGTACATTGTGAGGAGTTCTGGGGTAAGACAACAAAGGCTGACATATAAGGACCTTCACTAACTGGGCATATAGAGATACTATCCAGCTGGGAACAGTGGGATATGGTGGCCTGTGCTTGTTAGGGAAGCCTGATATTATGGGAGAAAGGATAAATATAAAGAAGTAGGGTAGAAAACTAGATACAGATGCTGGAGAAAATGGCTCAGTAGTAAAGAGCAGGTAATGTTCTTCTAGAGGACCTGAGTTTGGTTCCAGAACTATGACAGATGGCTTACAACTTCTTGCAGCTCTAACTCTAGGGGTGATATAATGCCTCTGGCCTCCACAGGCACCTGTGCTCAAATGCAATTACCACCACAAACAAAACTCCCTAATAAAAAAATTTAAAATCATGGCAATTATTTAAAAGATTACTAAAACTAAAAACAAAAAAGGTATGTAAAGCAGTCAAACATCTTACATTTCACCCAAACGGATGCCACTGGGTAAAATTCTATACCTCCCCACCCCCAAATACCCATACCCCAAATTTAGAGATGTAAATGTTTAAAGAAAGTCCAACTTGGAACAATGAAATTTTATATGTTTTAAGCTAAAAGGAAAGGCTGGAAGAATATGCAACACAGTGTTAACTGTGGTATGAGGGTAGCTGAACTCATCCAGAGCCTGCAGACAATGAAGCAGCTTTGCTGGTGATGTTCAAGGTAGGCACCCAAGTGTGAGATCTAAAGCCATAACATGTTTGGTCTCATTCTCAACCCTTCCAGAGGAAACAGACAGGGAAGCTATTGAGCACTGAGGCAATTCTTTGACAGGCAGTTTATCTGGACTGCTCAATTCACCTCAATTGGACCTCTGTGTAAAGGATAGGCCATAATAGGAACTAGAGGGTATGAAATCTATTTATTTAGTCAAGAAGTCTTACCCGAATTTTCTCAATTTCCACTTTATTGGCAGTCTGCTGCTTCTCCAATCGTTCACTCAATTGAGAACAAATCTGAAGAAACATAAAAGCACAGACTTTGGTTCAATGTCACCTATATAAGTTGGACTCTGGATAAAGTCTGTCCTAGCAGCAGCTGTAATTGCTGTGAGTGCAGGTGAGGTTGACATACAGATGGGAACTGACCTGCAGAGCACTCTGTAGGCCACTGTGAGATGTCAGGTATAGAAGGGAACAAGTTCAGTATGGTTCTGTGTTTGTAAAATTGTACCAGAATTCAACATTGAGACACACTCCATCACCTGACACTTTCATGTACCTTCTATATACTGGCACTCTACCAAGTATGTCTAATGGGAACCCAACAATCTTCCCAGGTTGGGGGGATTAGCTTGCTTAGTTCACAAGTGAGACTGAGGTAAGAACAAGGGCTTGAAGCCAGTGTGCTTTTGCACTGAGGCCAGAGTGCAGTCCCCGCCATATGCCCAGCCCAGGTCCTTCAGGGTAAAGCAACTCACCTGCTTATAGTCACCAATGATAGAACTGTTTTTTTTAATCTCTGATTCTGCCTTGTCAAGTTCTCGGCGGCACATTTCCTTTAACTGTGCACAATAAAGAAAAGTGGATGTTTTAAATCAAAAAGTAGGCTTGGCTATTCACTACGTAGTGCTGAGCCTTCCAAACAGTGCCTCATCTAACTCTGACTGAGCTTAGTTCTCTCACCCACCTCCTCCTCTCAAGGCAACACTAATCCCCTGTACTTAAAAGGTAATGGAAGGAGAAAAGCAACACTTCAAAAACTGCTGGTATTCAGTTCTAACGGGGCTTCTGCTAAAGTTGGTCCAGACAGCATAGGCCACACAGACAGAAAAGCCCAGGAAAAAGAAGGCAATATTATACATGCTGAGCTTGGTCAAACTCACTCTGGCCAGTCCTGAGACAGTAGTAGTGAAGGTCCAGGAGTACAGAGGGATGGGATGGGAGTTTGTTTTGGGTCCCATGGCATCGTCAGCTCTATGGCATAGGCATCAGAGGACAAGGGCAGGAGGACTGGACATTCTGAGATGCATGCTCTCCTGCAGACACTAGCTAGCATTCTTCCATTGCTCTCCATACTGATATACAGGGGCCTCTCCCACCTCAATGATGTACTAATTCATGTTTTAGTTTTCAAGAAACATTTTTAAAGAGGAAATAAAAAAAAGGTTTTTGAAATTTAATCAAGGCTACTGTCTAGATTCTCCAGTGCTAAGAGAAGTTCCAGCTGAACCCACCAGTATTGGCAAAATTTAGGTGTGTGTGTGGGTGTCTGGAGGGGAGGGAGCAAGGCTCCCCGCACCTGTGCAGACTCATCTTCTAGCCGCCTCTTCTCATCCTCTGCATCAATCAGCTTCTGTTTGGTCATCAGCAGCTCCTTGTTCAGTGCATCTGCCTTTTCCTCTGCCTGAAACATGGAGGAGACACCATGCCATCACCAAGTACTGGAGAGCTCAGAACTTGCCCATTTTAAGAAAGTAGGAAACGCTATGCTCAAGGTCACAGATAGACTACTCAAAGTGTATGACAGGTCAGAGGCTAAGCTTTTGACTTGTCTCAAATCTCATTGTTCAGTGACTCTAGATACTTGAATAAAGTTACTGAGAACTGTTCTAAGCTCCAGGCACTTAAACACCAGAATGGTAGCTATGATTTTAATAGAGTTTTCTTCTCCACATAGTTTGTATTTCTTCTGTGTACTTAGTACTGATGGGAGAGGTCATTCTGTAAATATGTTTCTCTTATTGGTTAATGAATAAAAGCCCTGTTGGCCAATAGGAAAGCAAGGTGGGTGGCGACAAGGAGGATTCCGGGAGAGAATGGACATTCAACATGTGGAGACTTGATAGAGAAGAGGTCCAGACCGTCTCTCCGGTAAGATAAGACCACGTGGAAACACTTAGAAATGGGTTAATAATTAAGACAGAGCTAGCCAGTAAGAAATGGTAGTAATAGGTCAACAGCTTTATATCTAATGTAGCATCTCTGTATGTTATTTGGGGCTGATGCGGCTATGGGACCAGGCTAGTGGGAAAACCGCTCGTAAGATAGTCCTGCATGTGTTCTTGCTAACGTTATTCAACAGAGAAGGCTGATTTCTTCAGGTACTTTGTGAATTTTGAATGGTCATATTCTACCCTAGTTTTTTTTTCTAGCACACACAAATGTTTGATGAGTAGAAATGATAATCCCAGGGGAAAATTTCATGGATCCCAACTCAGATCCCGTCACAGATAACTGGCAAGTATCTATCATGCTGGACAGCAATCAAGGAAGCTAGGGATGGTCTTTTCTGGTCCCTTCCTGGACAACTTTCCCCCAGCTTCTCTGACATTAAACAGTGCCAATTCTACTCTTGGGCTTCAGACTGAGACAGGCATGATATGAATACATGATTAGTTGCAGACTGTGCTGGCACAAATAGAGGTGAGTGCTGCTCTTACGGGGGATAGCTTACTACTTCCTCCTCCATTGCAAACCCAAGAGACAGACACAAACAAAATGAAGACACCAGACCACAAGGACACAGGAGAACACAGCTGGTTGACAGCACTTCAGCATAGTTGTGACGACCTCTCCTGCACTCACCATCACTGCCAAGGAGGAGATGGCTCAATGAGGCTGACTCTACGAGTGGGTCAGCCTGGGAAAGAGCTGATCCAGCTGGAGACTTTGCTTCCATAGAAGCAAGGTGAGGAGTCTCACAAGCCAGGCAGCAGAGTTGGACTCTTCACAGCATCTGCTACACCACCCTAGCTGACTCTCAGTACCGTGTCAATGAGAAGGTATGCTGAGGCTACTGGGCTGCCCCACTTGTTAGGGTTATTCTACATAAGCAGATGAAAACATCTAGGGATATATAAATCCAGGCTTCTACTTCTAGTCATGTAGAGTCAATAGGAACCATTTTCACCTTTCCACTGCAATCAGAAAACTGGACAACACTGGGTAAACAACTGGTTCCTGGGACAAAAGAAGAAACATACTCCTATCATTGGGGATTGTGTCAAGAGATCAAAGAATAATGTCTGGAAGGTTAGGGTTGTGGGTTGTTGAGGTGGCAGAAGCTGTGGGAGGGAGAGAAGTTACAACAGTCTACAAGGCGATTAAAGACCAGCAAAAACCTAATTAAACAAAGGATGCGAAAGAAAAAAGCAAACGGGATAGAAAACTAATTTCTATCAGGGTATAGCAAAGGCAAAATGTCTGTTAAAAGGAGAGGACAGAGAAGTTGCCTGCCATGCCGCACATACAGACATTAGAGCCATTAGCACTGCTGGGGCTTTTCCACAAGGAAGGAAACACAATGGAAATTACATGCACATGTTCCTACTACATAAAACCATACGCTGTAAGCTGGAAGTAGAATAGGTAAACAGTGCTTACCCAGAGTTTCATACTTTCAGATGATTTTAAAACAGGTTTGCACTAAATTTTTAAAAATCTTCTTAAGATAATGGAAAATATACAGAATCTCCACAAAATAGAAAGAAACAGACATTAACAGAACAATAACAATGACAAAATACCACATACAGTAAAACAAAAGCTGGCTTTGGGAATACCAAGATCACTGAATAACATCTGATTAGGCAATAGCAGTGCAGTGCAGTGCAGTGGGCACACCCCAGTATGGGATGCAAAAGGAATATTGCTATCGATGTATGAGCATCACTAGTTTCAGATCCACACAGCTGATTTTCAAGGACAAGGTGCTTAGAGATAGACATAAAAACAAAGACCATCTAAGTGGTATACACCTCTAATCCTAGCATTTTGGGGAACAGAAGCATGGAAACTACCCAAAGCACCTAGGCTAGTTAGCTCACTTTCCAGTGTTTACTAGATCAGCCCACCTGTCTGAAAACAAGAGCAGGGTCAGAATCCTGCCTGCTGTCAGACACACCAAGAAGGCTCCTGCCCTCCGCCGCAGTGAGGATAGTTCAAGGCCATTAGCTCCTTGTGACCAGCACCTGGGCTCTCACTGCCACAGGCAGAGACCTGCAGTTTCAGCTCAGTTACAGCTCAGGGTAGAGTGCTGGCCTGGCATGTATGAAGTCCCAGGTTCAATTCTAACTATTATAAAACAAGAATGAAACTCAACTGGGACTTAACATAGGAATGTAATGTTACAAATTAACAAAATTAAGAAAATATGGTTCAGCCATTATAACTGATGCAAGAAAAGCAAGTAGCAAAATTCAACACAGAGTTATGACAAAACAAAGCAGAGAACAGTGTAAAGGTTTCTCTACTCCTCAAAGTGGCCCCCAAAATGAATATAAAGTGATGCCCTGCCACCCGTTCTCTGCCTAGCAATGATCTAAAACCTTAGCAGGTATGGAAGGCAGTAGAAAAGGCAGAACCTGAAGTTAACTAGTCTTCATTCGGAGGTACAACAGTGTGTGTATGTGGAAAACTCAAAAGAAAAATAAAAACAGCATGGTCCCCCACCCCCACCCCTGACTAGCAAGCTCATATGCTACAAGGTATGGCACAAAGTCAGAGAATTACCTGTATTTCCAGAGATCAGCAATCAACAAAAAACCCCACCACCATTTATAACACTGAAACAGGAGCAAGACTTGCAAACTGGAAACTGTAAAGTAGTACTGAGAGGAACTGAAGGCATGCTAATATAAAGATGGCATGCCATGGGCTGGGGGCTCACCTCTGCCCTGCTCCATTTATGCCTGCTCCTCTAGTCTCCAGGCAGGAATGCCTGAGTAGTGACAACTGTGTGCAGGTCTCTGCCTGTGGCAGTGAGAGCCCAGGTGCTGGTCACAAGGAGCTAATGGCCTTGAACTATCCTCATTGCGGCGGAGAGCAGGAGCCTTCTTGGTGTGTCTGACAGCAGGCGGGATTCTGACCCTGCTCTTCCTTGAGGCATTTTTTTATGGTATACCAAATTATGCAATCCCATAATGTCACAGCCATTACTCCTGCCCAGACCACAGTGTCCACGGTGGACACAAAGCAGATTAGGTGATTATAGTAGCCCAGGTCTGTCTGAAAATTTCAATTTCTGAAAAAACAAAAAAGAACCAGCAGATACTGCCATATTTTCCTTTAATGTTTTAATGACTCTGAGAAACTAATAAAAGTGCGTGTTTTCAAGAAAGCATACTGCATGCACATTGTTTGTATCCTTAGGTGGATGTCAAGGACTTTCTAAAGTTCATACACTCTCTAGGGATGTAATCCATAAATACTGCTAGAATCTTCCCAAACCAACAAAGAAATCATTTCAGGATACTGGGTGAGTAAATCCAGAGATTTACAAAAACTGTAGTTCATGGGCCATATCCAACCCACCTCCAATTTTTATACATAAACTTTTTATTAGAAAACATCCAGGGCTGGAAGAGATGGCTCAGTGGTTAAGAATACTGGCAGCTCTTTCAGAGGACCTGAGTTCAATTCCCAGCACCCACATGGCAGCTCACACCTGTCTGTGACTCTAGTTCCAGGGGATCTGACACCTTCCCATCAATGCACACAAAATAAATAAATTACAATAACAACAACAACAAGGGCTGGAGAGATGGCTGAGAGGTTACGAGCACTGACTACTCTTCAAGAGGTCCTGAGTTCAATCCCCTGCAACCACATGGTGACTTACAACCATCTGTAATGAGATGTGGTGTCACTTTCTGGCCTGCACGCAGACATGGATGCAGAATGTTTATTTACCTAATTAATCTTAAAAAAAACTGGATGAGAGTTGGTGGGGGGAACAGGGGAGGATGGAAGGGTGTGGGAACTGAGATCAACATGTAAAACAAACTTGTTTCAATTCAAATTTAAATTGAAAAAAAAAATTATCCAAAAAAGAAGAAGAAGAAGAAGAAAACAGCCACGTTCCTTCTTTTATCTGCAAACTGTTTTTGTATTAGTGGTGGCATTAACTGGCAGCAGTAAAGACCACAGGCCCTTAAATACTCATTATCTGCCAATCTAAATCCAGGACTGAAACTACTTCCTCTATGGGAAGCTTGCAGTACAGAAAACAGGAAGCTTTAACAACAGAATACTGCTAACCAGCATTGAGAATAGTAAGCCCCCCAACAAAAACAAACAAACAAAAAACAATCCACAACCTCTGTGTTTGGGAAAGCAGGCAGGTTCTGTGAGCACAGAGAAAACATACAGAGGGTAGCAGGGCGTCAGCACAGTGGAGGCCCCTGACAAGGGAGCTGGCACTTCAGGGAGGGGCTGATGGGGATGGCATTCAACATGGAGGGAAGAATCTGTGTTGCTGTTTTGAGCTTTCCCCCTCACATCTGTCACACTTACATTATCCAGGTCCTTCCGTAATGCAATCTTGCTGGTGACCAGCTCATGAGCCAAGTCATCATTTTCCTGTTCCAATCTCATATTAGCTTCTTGCAGCCGCCTATTCTCCCGCTGTAGGAGGGAAAGAAGTCAATTAGGGACATAAAAACAAATCAAATGGAAATGATAGTTTCTCAAGGGCCAAGCTTCAAAACAAGTCCCTAAGTCCTGGGAAAGCATATACCACCCAGCCAATCCAAATGTTTCTAAATAATCAATTTCTAGTTTTCTGTCTCCACAAAGACATACACAATTAACTGAAGTGACCTTGTCAAGCAGTTGTCTCTGGCTGTCTGTGAGGAAAGAACAAAGAATTTGGGCAGCCACTTTGGAGCAAAACAGCTGTTATTTTGTCATTTGCAAACTCAATCAACAAACCAGTCTTCAACAGTGAAACAGGATTTTTTGAAAGTTTCAATAAAGCTAGTTACGGGCACAAGCCTATAATGTATAAGAGCTGTGAACCGAACCTCAAACCGTTCGGCCGGGTCTTCCTGTTGGGCCTGCTGCTCCCTCATGGTGTGGTACTCTTTTTCATACTTCTTCAGCTTCTTCTGGCTAATCTGTCAAGGAAGTCACAAAAGAGATAAAGAACCTGACGGTGGTACCTGGCAGACTCAATTATTGACGACATGGTATTTACTACTTTGGGATGGAAATCTTGATAGACAAATGTAAGCTCAAGACTCTGTCAGGGATATTTATTCCCCAAGTTATCACCTACAGTGCTCTATAGAACACCTTACAGGTGGCTTTACCTACATACATTTGGAGTCTGTTTGTTCCTAGTAATAATAATAATCTACTATTTCCTGTAGCACATACCAGCAGTATTACTAAAAGCTTTACACCTGAGCCTCTCCCTTCCCAGGTACAGGATTTCTTCATCTGAGGAATGAAGCTGTTTTATGACTAAATCTGGGCCTGAAGGCCTGGTCCCTGAGTTCCACTCAAAGCCCAAGCCCAGCCCACTAGAAAACTCGCAATCCTCCTTTCCACTATACCAGGTCCCTCTGTGCTGCTCCTTGTAGTTACGTTCCTCTCTGGTGTTCCACTGTGTCCTTTCTTACTGTAAGCCACAGGCCCCAACCTTCACCGGCACTGCTCTAGGCAAGGGATGTTCCTGAAGCCACCATGCTTCCTTCCCATTCTCCCCGAGTCCTACTTCTCCCCTGGACCCTCATGTTCCACCACCAAGCACGTCTTTCTTCTGGGGAGTCTTTGCTTTTGCCCTATGTCTTGTCAGGAGTTCTCTGATTACTGGTAGGTGCTTCTCTTCCTTCAATTCTAAGAGTGAACTTCAAGGTTCAGCTCTTCTTTGTTCAATTCCTTCTAAAAAACTAACTCATTCTCTGTGAGGATTTTTTTTTTTTTTAATTTTTCTACTTGACAGCTCTGGGTATCCTGAACTTGCTCTGTAGACCAGGCTGGCCTCAAACTCAGAGATCTGCCTGCCTCTACCTCCCTAGTGCTGGGATTAAAAGTGTGTGCCACCAAGCCTAGCCATTCTCTGTATTTTTAAAACTATTTACTAGCTATCACGATGTCTAGTTTTTAAAAACCAGATAGCAGGTACAGCAGCCATGCTCGACTGAGAAAATGACTGTGAGCCCTGTGTTTCTTTGCCCCAAGAGTGACACTCATCACACCATGTCACTGTTTCCAATCTGCTTGTGCTACTCGTGGCCCGCAGGTCCAGGGAAGTGCAGATAGACTCAAGCACAGGCGCTGAGTTGGGGCATGTCTGCAGTGTATGCTTGCCCATAGCTATTTCTTTGTGGTCACCCTGGGGGTCCTCTCGCTGGCTCTAACTTCTGTGTGAGCTGTGGGCAGGTACGTCTCCACTGAAGCTAGATTTCTCCATCTGGCACTGTTACCCGACAGCAGGGACCAGGCTACAGCCTCCACAAAGATGCCCACTAAATTCTTCCAGGAGACCACGAGATGGAAAGGGACATCTCTACCATACATCTCTTTGGGGGATAAACTTTTACTGTGTTCCTCAGTAATTCACCAAAACAAACAAATGAAAATGATACCTAAAGAAATGAAACATCTTCATGATCAGTCAATCCATTAATAAACTCTATCAGAAAATGGCTGTGGGCAGCACACTCTCCTACCAGTGCTCTTCTCAGTCTGAGCAAGAGAAGCAAAGGCAGCAAAGACAAGCGCCTCTGAGCTCCTTCTAAAAAAAGAGCAGACACTACCCCTGTACCACACCTTCACACACCTCCAGGACACTTCAGGGATTAACACTTTCCTCATAACCATACACTTTGAAAGGCTAATTTCCAAATTTTATCATCTTTGATTGAAACTGGCAAACTCGGCATCAGCTCCTTCCTGGAAAGTCCACATCTATTCATAGCTGCTTCCTTTCTGCTCTGTGCTCGCTCTATGTCTGTTTCACTTGCCATGCACCTCAGTGCCCAATCAACGCTTTCACAGGACTCTTCAGGGTCTGTTGTGGACCGTGTTCTTTGTAGTGTATTTGGATCCCCTGACCTCCCAGCTCCAGCCTCAGCGTTCTCTACTGGAAGTTGAACAGCAAGCAGGTAGTGTTAACTAAAGGGATCTAAGGGTGAAGAAAACAAATTGGCTCATACATGTATTCCTCTGGTGGCTCCTCATTCTTCAAAAAAGTTGTTCCCCTAAAGTTCTCTTCAGAAGCTCCCTTCAAAAATTCTACGCAAAAGTTCTCTCTGAAAGTTCTCCCTGATCCCACAAGGTTTCCAGTTTATATGCCTACACAGACATAATTAATTAGCAATTCTCTGGTAACAGGCATATATATCTCAGGGTCAGAGGAGCAGATCTTGACAAAAGCAGGCGCCTCATATCCCAGAGGAGATGGCACTTGTAAAGCATCCAGGTAAAACTCATGAGGTGGGCAAGGGTTAAATAGAGTAAGGGGTTACAATTTCTAAGAAGGGAAAAGCGGAGTTAGTATGTGGTTATTTAAACTAGAAATTTGTAATTGATAAATGTAGAAAAAGAGGAGGAAATGAGACACTGTGCTTTCTATGCACTGACTTTCACTTTTGGAAGGAAAATATTAGCATTTCCACCAAATAATAGCTGTTTATAAGGGGACTTCTCAGCTCTTTATCAAAGGGAAAAGCTAAAGCTATGTAGTGTGACATCAGCTCTTACCACTGATGCCCTGGTGAGAAGGAATTCTTGTCTCTGGGGCCTATTTGAGAATATGAGGCACGAAGTATATATTCTATATATCAAGATTATACAGCTAAATGAAGCCATCCTCCTGACTTCCCAAAGATATATGTACCCAGTAGATGGAATATTTTCATGAGATAAACACATATAAGCAGTGGGGATCACCCAAAGCTATTCTTAGGGTAAAAATGAAGTGACTCCATGGCCTTGCCAGGCAGAATTCCCTTATCACTCATGTAATGGTGTTCAGTACAAAAGCAAGACTGAATTATTCCTGTCCATGGTTTATTCCATCTTTTATCAGGAAAGGATTATGTCCTGTAGCCTAGTAAAGCTGGAGGTGTTCCTTGCAGAATGAATTTCAAGAAAAATTAGCCTCATCTAGAGTGAGTACAAATAGGGGAACCATCCAAAATAAACAGGCAAAGTTCTCCAGGACTAGAAGGAATTTCACACATAAAATATCTAAAATGAAATGTACATGGTATACAAACATTATGAAGGCAGGTTGTTTGTTTGAGCTCACTAAAAAGAATAGGCAAGGAAAATACATTAGCCACCTCTTATCTGAACTATGGAAGAAAATACATATTTACTAACATGTTTTCAACAAATGACACTTAGAACTGGAACTTCTTTATAAGACTTGTCCAAATGTGAAAAAAAGTAAGTGGAAACTCAACAGCACGTCCAGCCAGCCAAGCAGTACTTATATGTCAAAAACTACACTTCGTGTTAAGGACTCTCCTCTGTTGTCAATTCTGTTTCAATGAGGTCATATAAAAGTTGGCGTATGAAGGGCTGGGGTAAGCCGTTAGATACTGTGATTAGAGGAGACATCACTGATATCTGAGATATCAGCTAGCACACAGCTAACACAAGTGTTATAAGCAGAAAAATTAGCTGCTAGGAGAGCAACTTGTGTCTGAGAACACAAAGAAGCCAGGGAAGTCTAGAGCAGAAGATAGAATCTGAGAAGCCGCCAAGGCATTGTTCATGACTGTGGCACAACAGGACTCCTGAGTCCTGTGGTGAGATAAGATGCCTTTAAGAATTTTAAGCAAAGGAAAAATGGGATGGGAAAAGACAGGCAGAGGGCCACTGTAGAAAGGAAGTAGTCGTGAGGTAGTCAGAGGCAGTGTATTAATGACAGGCTGTGGAATATGAACACATGAGCTGTGAACAAGAATCCAACACGGCAACAATGTTCCTGTCCTAGGCTGCCAGGATCATCAGGAAAGGACAGGATAAGTAGAAAGAAATGTGGGTAGAAGAGAGCCTTCTCACATGCTGAACCATGAGGAACACAAGTGATCTGTGTCAGAGCTTGCTTGGCTCTGTGCCGTGTACAAACCCATCCCCATGTGACTATACAATGTCTGGTATCTGTTTGAAGAGAGATGAGCGAATTCCAGCAGTAGCCATCATTTCATGAACCTTTACTAATTCCTAGGCATACTATGTACATACTATCATGGTTAACACACATAAAAGCACTTAGCCAGGGCATCTGTAATGTTGTAAACAATTTTGGATAGTATTACTTTTCTCAGGTCCAGGGGCATACCCACATACCACTAAGACCCTGGTAACCAGCTGCTGTTCCACAATGCTTTGGAATATGGATGGGTGGGTTCACACACACTAACTCTGAGCTACTTTATTACAGAAATCTATATTTATGTTTCTCTCATTCATGTATCTGGACATTTTCTAGATCTTATTTTATCTCACTTCTCTATGCATTAACAGAGGGCAGTCTTTGTTAAATCAGTCTGACACATGGTCCAGGCTAACACAGCTCTGTAGAGCAGGTCCAGAGCACCTGCTCTACAGCCAGTGGTGACATCAAAATCTGCACTGTATCTCATGTGAATCTAGATACAATCTTATTTCACCTTTATTCTGCCTGTCTCTTTTCTTAAATTCCTAATTAAAGTCTCTTCAATTACAGTATTTTCTCTTTAAAAATTCAAATTATTCAAAACATGAACACACTGCGATTATTCATATTTTAACCATAAAAGTTGTAAAACCATGTGAAGTTATAAGATTATGAGGCTTGTCCACATATTTTTACTTCTTAGAGAATTTCTGATCACAACAATAAATGTTAAAGCATAAAGTCAGTGAAGTGAGTGAGACCCAAGAAAGCAAAATTCTGTCCCTAACCAGCTCAATGTTGACAGGGCTTCTAACTTGTCCGCTTGTAAAATGGACAGTAACACTCTTCCTACAGCATAAACTGTAAGGACCAATGAAGTTAAAGTCAAAGATGTGAGATACAGTCATCCCTCAGGATCCCCAAGAGCTAGGTCCAAAATCAGAGCCTGCTCAGTCCCTTCTATCAAGCAGTCAAGTATTTGTATAGCACCTGCATGTACCCTATCATACATAGGAAATGATTTCTAGGTTAGCAATTATACCTAAACACAATATAATTGCTGCATAGTAATTGCTGTACTATTTAGGGGATAATGCAATGAAAAAATAATCTGTTTTTGGATACATGTATTTTCTCCTAAATGCTGTCAGCCCACAATTGGTTGAACCCATAGACAGAAAACCCACAGATGCAAAAAGCTAAGTGTTTATGAAGGTGTTTTGAAAACAGAAAGGTACACGTTATACAACACAAACACAAACAACCTCATTATAGGCTGTAAGTCCTTAATTTGAAAATGGGAATCCTGCAAGTTGTCAAAATTGACACGGTTTTGTTTTTGTTTCATTTGGTTTTGTGAGTTAGTCTGGCTGTGCAGATATTCCAGGAAGGCCTTAAACTAAAGATTCTCCTGCCTCAGGCTCCCAAAATGTTGAGACCACAGATAAATATCACCAAGCTCAATAAATCTGAAAAAATGTTTATTAAATATATGACATTACTTCTGACTATATGTGATATCACAGCCAAAACACAAGTACACTTAGTTTACCAACAATGTATTGTAACTATCTTCAGGTTGCATGTATGAACTATCTATGAAATATACATGGATTTGAGACGTATACTTGAGTTCTAACTCTAGGATAGTTCAGCAAAAATAAAAATAGCAACAGTGCCACTCCTACCAAAACAACAGAAAACTCCTAACCATTTCCTAAACACTCCAGTGCAAACACTTAAGATAAAGGACACTCAATGTGAACTATCAGTTATATATTATAAACATTAACAATTTCATCAGAAAATCTGAGATTTCAATTGAAAAATCAAAGAATAAGTATACAAATGACATTTTTACCTTCGTGTTGCAAGCTAGTTCCATGAGCCTCTTTGCGTTTTCTTCTGAGCGGTACCTTTTAGGGAGCTGTACCCTGAAGAATTTCAAGGCACCCTCGAAGTCTGTCAACAGCAAGTCATCCTTGGAAGTCTTGAAAAGAAAAGACAAACACATGTAGAAAAAAAAAAAAAAAAGCCTGTTATGAAGATAAGTACAATTTTACAATTCTAGGGACCCTTAAACATTTCTTAGTTTTTGCAGAACAACTTATGCACATCCCATCAATGAAAATGACAGAACACAATGACCACTTAGCATGAGATGAAAACTACAAACACAGGGCAGGACACCAGATGGCTCAGCTCACCAAAAGATATGTACCTTTAGTAATCCAAGGGCGACATTAAAAATGACACTTATTCCCTAAAAGAGAAGAGACAAGACAGTTTTAGTATCTGTAACCACTCTGTTAGCTGCTGGGCCATCATGGAAAGGCACTTAAAGGAAATAAACTCTCCAGCCCTATTCTGACACTCAAAGAAAATGCTTTTCCAAAATAGCCCATGAGTCCAAATCAATTATTATAGTCACAAAATAGTAATCTATCAATATGGCAATCCACGTACTCCAGAACTGAACTTGTCTGGAGATCTCTAACTTGCCTTCCTCATCTGACTAAATGGAAATTGTGAGGTAAAGAACAGGTGAGTGAAGGCATTAACAACTGTCTTTAAACTACACAGTTTGCTAACAATAATATTTTTCCTTTTCCTTTTTTTTTTTTGGGGGGGGGTATTTTCAGACAGGGTATTTTCACCCTGGCTGTCCTAGAAAATACTTTGTAGACCACGCTGTCCTTGAACACAGAGATCCATCTGCCTTAAGGCCTCCCAAATTCTCAGATTAAAGATGTGTACCAGCACACCTGCCTATATTTTTCAAAGTATAAAAGTAGAGCCATGATACATTATCACATTACAGTGGAAAATGTAATATTCCATATAAAAATTATACTATACATAGGAGCAGAAAAGGTCAAGGAACATACAACTAAATTTTTATATGTAGTTAAACTGTAGAAACAGTGAGATTAAAGTATTTTCAATAGTTTCTGTGATAAGCACATCATTTTATAAGTAGTTGTTCTTTTCTTTCTTAACACATACATACCTCTCAAATTTCAACCTATGCCATGGCTAAGGACATTTTTCACACTGCCTTGTTTCTTTTTACTGACAATGCTCTACTGGCTGGTATAGTCACATAATTCAACCTACCCATGGAAATGCTGGGTGGGATCTCCAGCACGGCTTTTTTTTTTTTTTTTTTTTTTTTTTTTTAAAGAAGAATGTAGAGCTAGGAGTAGTGGCACACAACTGTGTTCTCTGCATCCAGGAGACACTAAATAAACACCGTGCCCCCCCCCCACACACATCCCAAAGGAAGGTGCCAGCTCCCAATACAAATACAGATATGGCAGCTATAGCTTAGTTCTAAGAAGGAGACTGAGAAATCAGGGTACTGCCAGCCTTTGTCTTCCTCTACACAAGAAAGAAACCTCTATTTCATTTACTCAGTGCCACAGAAGCGAACAGAATACTAAGTGGTCTAACTGTCCAATGTGTCTCTTCTTAGCAGAGAACCCCTGTGACAAGGGTGAGCAGGACACTGGCCTCAGAAAGAGCCAATCCAGCCCAGATTTGGCAATACCAAAACAAAACAGAGGAAAAGAGATTTGGCGAAACTTGTGGCAGAAGTACACTGCACAGACAGATCTAAGTGCTGTGATGTCTAACACGTACCTCACATAAGAGCAGGTCGATGATATGGAAGACCATGTAGAGAGGAAATTTTGCAGTGAAAAGTGTAAGAAACCACTGGGAGGCGTACATGTGTGCTTCAAGGCTGATATCCAGGAAGTGGTTGTACAGGTCAGGAATGTATTCCTGAAATAGTAAACTAATTAGTTCTGGGCACATATGTAGCTATCCTATATATCTTAGGAGGTTCATAAATCTGCCAGCAGTAGCCCAAAAATGTGTTTTTCTAAATATCTCTGAAGTACTCGAAACACTTAGCAGTTATTTTCCATACTACAAACTAGTTGAAAGAAAGGGGAATTCTCTACAACAGTGATAAGTATATGGAAAGCCAGTTTTTATTTCCAAGTTATGAGACGTTATAGGAAAGTCTGTTTTACTTTGGAAGGGTTTCCTCAACAGACACCTTAGTAGCCTTGTGGAACAGTTCCTCACTGAATTTCCTATAGACAAGGGCCCAACAAAGCAATTTGCTCTTTAGGTTGTTTCTATGACCGAAAACTCAGCTTAAACATCAGCTACCCAGCACTGTTGGATCTCTGCATTGTCACCACATAATGTTACAGGAACAGGAATAAAAGCCATTGTTCCCCAATCCATCCACCACTACTTTGCACCTATTTGTCCAACACAGTCTGAATTTTCTTACTTGCATGAGGCGCTCCAACTGGAAGAACTTGCAATGTAGATCTTCAAAATTTTGCTTGAAAAGCTCCCTGAGACCATAGTCAAACATGATCTTGACCAGAACACTGAATGCCTGCTCTTCAGGCATCTGTAACAGATAGTCAATGGAGGGGTGGGGTACAAAACAATTACTTCAGCATCTTTAGCTTGTCCCTCCACTGTCTTACCAGGAAATGAAGTGGTGCACAGAAACCCAGCTCTCAAATTTTATTTGATAGCATTAATTCACTCAGGCGAGGAATGTTTAATGAGGCCTATCCTGAGCTGCCACTGCCTTCCCACGGCAAGAGTGTAATGAACTATGAACCATCAGAAGGACTGGTGAGCACCCAGGACAGCAAAGCTTGTGAATCAAAACCAGGTCCTGCTGAAAGGACAGGCTTAGAGGTGGGTACAAACAGGCTAGTACACACTATGCTTCAACTTCCTGAAATAATGATGCCTTTGTTTAATCATTTGTCCTCCCTTTGCCATAATGTCATTCTAGCAAACTATTTTTCCTTCCTGTCATAGTAAAAAATAGTTTGGGAGCTGGAGAGATAGTTCAGAGGTTAGGAACACTTATTACTCTTGTAGAGGACCTCAGTTTGGTTCCTACCACCTATGTGGCAGCTCACAAACATCTATAACTCTAATTCCTGGGGAGCCCATGTCCTCCTCTAAGCTCTGTGAACACCTACATGTATAATATGCATATATGTTTATGAAGGCACATACAAAAATACACATAAGTGAAAAATAACTCTGAAACGGTAGCTCTTCCACACACTCAGGTCTATGCTGTCACTCCAGTGCAGCAGCAGGTGTGGCATAAGTGCTGAATCACCAGAGACCCTCCTTCATGTCTGTCTACAAATCTCCTAACACTCAGGAGTAAGAGCATCTTCCATGTCTTTACAGCACATCCCTCCAAGAACATAGAGAGAGGTCTAACTGTCAGAACAGAAGGATAGCACTAGCAACGTTATTTAAGGGTTCATGCAGCAAGCTTCAGAAAGTCAAAAAGGTAGGTAAACTTCTGTGGAACATGACATTGGAGGTGGGCAGAATACCAGACCCAGCGAGAAAATGGCACAGCAAAAGCAGTAAATGACAAAGCACAGCAGATTCCTATGGGAAAGGACCGGCTACTTGGGGTGAACAACTATGTTTTCTAAGAATTTTGTTGTGAAAGGCAGCCTCACTTTCCCACATGTGGGAAAAGTGGCTTGATTTGTGTGGCATTTCTGATTTTAGGTTGCCCATTTCTCTAGAAAGAAAATAAAGACTTAACACTAAGGAATCAGCAGGAGTTTGAAATGCAACTGGGACTTGAGGAAACCATCTCTAAGTGGTGGTGATTATTAAATGGGAATAAATGTTCTTTGTGAGAAACTGCAATCACTAGATAGATAAATAGATGAGCCATATAAGGTGTGCAAGGCTGAGATATAAAGTCTGCTTAAAACAAATCAAAGGAAAAAAAATGACCTGTTTATTAATGTCATAGTATTAGCATATACTCCAAATTCCCAAAATATTCTAATTCACCCAGAACTAACCCTGCTTTTCTCTGTAACTCTGCTTGTTGTACCTACTACAGACATCACCAAGCTGAGCTCACAGTAGAAAACAGTTTTTTGTTTGTTTGTTTGTTTGTTTAACCTGTGAGGCCAGATATACAAAATGGCTTAAAATCCTCCTAAGACTTCCCACCCTCTCAGAAAACATGCAAGCTTTATTTTGGCTTGTATGATTTCCTGGTGGGCCTTTATTCTCCTTATCTCTGTTGCTTTCTGCCCTCCATCTCTCTCTTCCTCCCTCCCCCTTCAGTCACACTAAGCCTCTTTTAATTCCATACATTTGAAATTCTTCAGCCTTTATATACTATATCATCCCTTTTGACAGCAATGTTCTCTATTTTCATGCTTTTATAATATCTCTATTGCAACATAACAAGGACAAAAGTTAAATAACCCTGAAAAGTACACAAGAAAGTGATAATCCTTCTTGTTTTTTAGGGTACACTGCACTGTACTGGTTATCTGCCAAAAGGAGCCTTTAATCTAAACAAGAGAAACTGTTACAGTCTTACACTGCCCATTGCATTTAACTGTTTGGAGCCACTAAAATCTGAAGTCACACTTGTACAGCTAGCACTCTGTCTGCTTTACAGATGGCAGAGGCACTGGCTTTGCACTGTGCTCACACTTAGCCTCAAATTTCCAACTGCAATCACAACTGCTGATACCACCTGCATAGTATTCTTACCACACATTTCTAAGTTAAATAGTAAGAAAATGATTAGATGAATTAAGAATGTGACACAGTTTATGAGACAACGTGCTTAATGTTTTTTTTTTTTTTTTTTTTTTTTAAAGTCAGTGGCTTGAAACAAAGACAACAGAGTGGTTTTATAAGGACAAAAGACAAATGCCACATCTGATTTGTTGTTGGATTATGGTCAGAGTAATGGCCACAAAGGAGTCATATTCGGGTAGGGGCTATAACTCACAGGTAACCCAGCATGTTTGTATTCCTGGGTTCAATCCCTAGCACAACAGTATAACCAGCAGCTAGTGAGACACACATGCACTGAGATGAGGACTGGATGTGGACTGTATGACAAGCAGGATATCAGTATGGGATTTGAGCATATTACTAACTATAATATGTAGGATACAGAATGCCCTGGCCCATACAAGGCAGAGGCTCAAGTGTTTGCTCCTTTCTTTTATAAGGTAGTAAGTTGTATTTGTGGAAATGCAAAATGAAGACAAAGAATAAATCAGTAACTGGAAGTCAAATGAAGACTACTAAATATATGGCGGTGTAGCTTACAGCTTAACATATTTTTTGACATTTCTATGTATTTGAAAAAGTAAAAAAGTTAGAAACTAAAGGTCTTTATTATATGAACGCGTGAATAAAATGATACTAAAAAAAGCCTTGCTGTCATCCCAACATATGAATTTCCAAGTAGATTTAATGATAGTGGCTATTTTATAGAAAACAAAATGTCCCTAAGGGTCAACTGAGTCTGTCTACTGAAAAATGAAAAGGAAACCTAACCTTGTACTAGTTTTCAACATTGCCATTCATCATCATGAAGTATCTCTTCATAGTGCCATTAAATTAAAAGTATCCAGATACAAGTTAAAGATTCTGTCTAAAAATCTGGCTAAGCCCAGCCTTAGCCACACTTAAGCCAGGCAGGCATGTGCAGCTATGACACAGACCCAACTACTTACGTGAAGCAGCAGCACAGCCGCGAGGAAGGACTGGCCCTGGCAGTAACCAATTTCTTCATCATACACAGAGTATGCCTGAATGGGGACAAAAAACAAAGTACTTTAAGGGATGACTCATTCGCCATAGCAATCAGGAGGCAGAAGCAGGTGAATCTCTTGAGTTTGAGGCCAGTTGGGTCCACAAAGCAAGTTCAAGGACAGTCAGGGATACACAGAGAGACCCTGTTTCGAAAATCCAAAAACAAAGGAATGACTCATTCATGGCCTATGCCTGCTCTCTAGGACCTGGAAGACAGGAAGCAAGAGGATGCTACTCTAGCCTCATTGTACCATGTTGAAGGCCAAAGAATGATGCTAATACATCTCTCTAATCCCAGTATCATCTTCATAATAAAAGGAGCTGCCACCACACTATTTCCTGTGGCCAAGGGGAGAATTAATCAAAAATGAGTTGACCATTAAATCAGATTCTAACAGCTCCTGTTCTAAAAGCTCATGTTGACCCCATAGGTTGCTCTTCTCTGCCTGAAAAATATATTCTTCCTCTAAACCCCAAAAGTGTCCCAATTCAACTGTAATTAATCACCCTCTTCTCTGTAACTCTGGTACTAGCTAAACATGCATGGCTACTATAGAATTTACTAGGTCACATTTTAAGTGTTCATCTTCTCTTGGACTCAAGGTTTCCGCTAAGGGATAAGATACTGTATTATTTAACAAGGTACTGATTAGTTAATGTTATTCAATCATCTATATGGATAAAAGGCTTTCTGATAAGAGTGATGGCTCTAAAATAATTTGTGGCTTCCTCTGGATTATTTTTTAATTTAATAATTTATTATGTATATACTGTTTTGTCTGCATGCCAGAAGATAGTTGTAAGACATGCCACATGGTTGCTGGGAACTGAACTCAGGACCGCTGAAAGAGCAGCCAGTGCCACTTTTCCAGCCCTGGAATCTTACTTTTAATTTCCTTGGTAGTAGATGATTACATACATTGCCTAGGAACATTATATTGAATAGAACACTGACATGTACAATTCCCCATGGTCTGCTGCTCCTGAGCAGTTTTTGTGATTAGCATTAGTAGTTCTCATGTATACTATGGTAGAAAGGGGGAATGCCCATAATTAGTAGTTCTTAACCTATGGGTCCAGACCTCTTGGGGGAACATATCATGTATTTACATTATGATTCAAAAGAGTAGCAAAATTACATTATGAAGTAGCAATGAAAATAATTTTATGGTTGGGGATTACCACAACATGAACTGTATTAAAGGGTCATAGCATAAGGAAGGTTGAGAACCACTGTCATGCTGGGGAACCAGCATAGGACTGTATTGAGACCCCAGAACGTGGGTAACAGATAGGAGGCCTCTGGCAATGGAACCAGTATTTATCCCCAGTGTACGAATGGACTGTAAGAGCCCATTCCCCATGGAAAGATGCTCTCTTAGCCTAGATACACAGGGGAGGGCCTAGGCCCTGCCTCAAATGACTTGACAGACTTTGATGATTCCTCATGGAAGGCCTCATCCTGCCTGGGGAGTGGATGGGGGGGGGGTGTTGATGGGAGAAATGGGAGGGACAGAGAACTAGGATTGATATGTAAAATAAGGTTGTTATTAAAATTCTGAACAACAACAACAACAACAAAACCACTGTAATAATATTCAGTCTAGGATAAATTTATTTCTGGTGAATGCTGTTGGCTGCTAAAATACACTGAATTATAAAAGCTGCTAGATTAAACCAACCTATATATTTTAAAAATATCTACTTCAAAATTTAAGTCAATAGGTACGTTGCTTACAGAGGGAGTGGGGAGGAGGGAGGTTATGCTTTTATTTTCATAGGAAATAAGAAGTTGTGGATTTGTTCTGGGTTAAAGAATATCAGGTTTGATCAGAGAAGACCCCTGGAATCCTGGCTACAGACACTAAACAAAAACAACAAAACTAGAACTACAAGACACTTAATGTATATTTTATCTGCTCAAACATAAAAAAAATCATTTATAACTGACTTGTACACACCATATATTCCATACCTGTAATATATGTTACCTTTAAAAGTTTATGTATTTTCAGAACAAGGGAACCAAAAATCAATGAAAACAGATGAACCAGGTAATCCAGCTTTTCAAAATGCCGATGACAATCTCCTCAAAATTATACATTCAAAACAGCTTCAAGGCTGTGTAGCAAGACTCTTGTGTCCTAAGAAAGGAATTTTGTTTTGTTTTGTTTGATGTTGATTTGTTTGCTTTTTAAGACAGGGTTTCTCTGTGTAGCTTTGGAGCCTGAACTAGAACTTACTCTGTAGACCAGACTGGCCTGCCTCTGTCTCCCAAGTGCTAGGATTAAAGGCATGCACCACTACCACCTGGCCTAAGAAAGTCTTTTAAAATTAGGTATTTTAGAATTTGTCTTTCAGGAAGATGAAAGACCAGTGTTTATCAGGTAATAGGTTAATGCATATAAGCAAATTTTATCATTAGCTCTTAGAGACACCATAGCCTTAAAAACAGATGCAGTCTTCATAAACTCAGGCAGAATTCACTGTAATTTTATTAGGCCTGAATGATGAGAGGGCTATAAGATAAGAAGCATGTATACTTTTTCAAAGACAAGATAAAAAATGAGGGCTTTAGAAAGAACCTATTTATAATACCAGGAGGCACACCACTTTCCACATCTTAAGTTAATAAGAATCGATGTTACGGCCAATATTGCTAAGAGTGTGCTGAAAACTATCATGGCAGATAGCTAACACTTCTCTGGGAAGCATTTGGTATTATCAGCAGTTATCAGTTACAGAGTCAGAAGCCTGTGTCTGTCAGTTTTGCTGGATCATGCATACATTATTTATATATACTACTATCATAATGTTGACTTATTGTCCTCACTCAGCCTTCTCAGGCAAAGGGCGCAGCACAGCTTCAGCAACTTTATGTAATAGAAGGAAATACATGCATGGAATCTCCATAGGTGGAGAACAGAGGGTATCATACAATTCAGGCTGGTAAGTCACCAAATGAATGCACACAGGTATTGAAAGTGCAGTAGGTACTTGGGAAACAGTGGGAGTAGAAGGTTCAAGAGAGCATAATGAAGAAAGGGAGGACAAGTCATTTCATTAATTCATCGACACTTAAGGAACATCTGTAATATGTTCAGCAGTGTGCCAAGTACTACTGTCCTTGAGAACTTCAGTGACAAATCAATCATGCCATGTAAAACAAGTTCACCTGGTGAAGCAGGAGCAAGTCATGAACTAGGATAAATTACAAAACATCACCAATGCTAAGATAAGGAATCCAGAAGCAAAAAACACACTCAGTGGTTTTATTTTTCTACTGTGTTATGTATGACTGCATACTCGAGAGGTCTGTGGAAGCTGCACAAATGAGCTAATTTTGGTCTAAACAAGAGGCAAATTTTGGAGTAAACACGAAAGCAGGCTACAACCCAGAGGCTAGGGGATTAATTCAAGGCAGTTTTTATAAAACTCCCAGCAAATAATGGGAGAGGAAACACAGAGGGAAGCACAACTCCAAGGGTCATCAACCATATCAAACAACCTGGGAATGTGACATGGTGGGAAAGTAAGATTGACTTCCATCAGAAGAGATGGAGGGTCCTGATGGACTCGGACACTGCAGCTGGATGAAGGCATTTAGGGAAGTCTGGATATAGAACTGGCACTGGATGGCTGAGATGGGTCAAGATTTCTGAATTTTATTTTAAAGTTTTGAAGAACATATTAAACAACATGGGAAGGGGCTGACATAAAGGGAATACACAGAAATTCATCACTATAATCAACTTCTGTGTGTTTGAAAGTTTTCACAATAAACATGATTTTAAGTGAATTTGAAAGACCAGCATTTTCCGTGACCCAGCAGACTAACTGGTACCTAGCAATTAACAAGCTAACACAGATTTGGGCACATCTATCCAGTAATTGAGAGCTGGTACTCTGAGACTACAGGGGATCTCAAGGGGACCAGGCAGAGCTGGAGAAATCCATCTGAGTACCAGGGGAAGGCCTCTGAGGGAGGGCAGATTAAAAGGGAGAAAAGAAAGTTATTGGTGAGTCTGAGGTGGGGACTACCCAGGAGGGGAGGGGCAAAGGCAGAGAGAGAGCTGCAGGGAGATCAAGACATAGGAACAGACAGTAGACACCAGGGTACTTTCTGAGTGGGGAATGATTGAAGGACCTATATGGAAGACACAACCAAGATTCAAGATACAAGCAGCTAAAGGACCTAAGAAAATTACAACAGGATCACAGCTTTGAATATTATGGAGAAATTAAAGAACAACTTCTTTAAAGTCAACTGTCCTTAATAGTTCAAATCACCTAGTGTGTCACTGGAAAGCCTTTTTTAGCTAGCCTGTCCCTAAAACCAGATAATAGTTTTTTTTTTTTTTTTTCTTCCCTTTTCAATCTTAACACCTCTGTGCACTGCTTGGATATACTACCAAACAAACAAACAAACAAATTAATAATTCTGAGAAGGAAAAGATCAAAGGCTAGCTCTGCAGTCAGGACAAGACTAAAACTAAAAAGGTGTGGTCTCGACCTCTTTCAGCACTGGATAGTTCTGATGTATCTTACTTATACTCTGTACCTTTAAGAAGAACAAATCTATTTTAAAAGGATTACAACCAGCCAGGAATGGTGTTTCAAACCTTTAACTCCAGCATTTGGGAGGCAGAAGCAGGTGGATCTCAGTGAGTTCAAGGCCAACTACAAAGCGAGTTCCAGGACAGGCTCCAAAGCTACAACAGAGAAGCCCTGTTTTGAAAAACCAAAACAGATTACAATGCAATAGTCTGCTACTTTTACAGTGTTCAGATACATATTTCAGAAAAGAATACTTATCATCATTTATTTATTAAGCAACAATGCTACAAATCTACCTGAATGGGGATTGGCACTTCCTACTGTTGGGCCATATCCACAGAGCCAACTTCAGCACTTAGAATATGTATAAACATTCCACAGCTCCCAGGAGCTTTACAAAACAAATTTAAAAAGTCTAAATATGTATTATGAAGGGCCAGGATGACACTGTTTATTGTTAGACCCTGAGAACCATGCAGGACACTCACGGCCTTTGTCTTGGTGTCACATTCAGGGTTACACTGAAGTCAGTGTCACACTGGCTTCAGTCAACCTTTTTCTCTTCTTGGTTTTCTAACATAATCATTATTAGATTTGTCATTTGACAGTTTCATGCTTGTATACAATACATGCTAATTACTTTCTCCCTGCACCTTTTCACCTTCCTCCCACACCTGGTAATACTCTCCTTGAGACAAATTCCTTTCCCACATTTATCTCTCCTTAGTTTTAGGACCCACTGGCTTGAACTAGGATTCTGTATGACCATGGGTTTGCATGGAGACTCTTCATTGGAGACTGGTGGGCTCACCAGTGGGTAAACAACTGAAGATAACTCCCTCTCTCCCATAATCTTTCAGTAGCCAACAGTTCAGTAGGGAAGGATAGGGTACTTCAGATACTTACCCTATCCATGACTGGCTCTTGACAGGGAAAGTACTATGCAGGCCAGTGGTTATAAGTTTGTAATGTACTGGCTATGCATAACCAAGAAGGTATTTTCTGTCCCTTACCTTTTTTCTGTCCTCTTTTATAGCCTGTTTCCTAACTGGCATAGCCTACATGAATGCAGGTGCTTGCAGAGTCAGAGGCATTGTACTCCCTGGAGCTAGAGTTCATGAAGTTGTGAGGTACTAGGTATAGGTGCTGGGAAGTGAACTTAGGTCCTCTGGAAGAACAGTGTACTGTTAAAAACAGTGAGTCATCTCTCCAGCCTGATTTTTGATGATTCAAAAACTGTTATCTATGACTTTCAGATTCTCCTTTTTTGTTGTCTATGATTTGGGAACTGGAGGGAAGAGGAACTTAAGGAAGGCCAGCCTCTGGTATTGTGACAATATGAGGCCCTGTTTCAAAAAACAAAAGAACCCTAAAAGTGTCAAAGAAACAAACCATGTTTTGTATTTTGTCTTTTATATAATTTGAAGAACCAGAACAGTCATTCAAAACCAATACTTTTACATTTTAACATGAAATACCTTGCATATTTTATATAAGGAATCTTGTCCATCTCCTCCCGTGTCCTTGAAGTAGTCATGAGCTGGAAATGTGCGGTTAATGTCCCTTGTGATAGCACTGTCTTGGGGAGACTCCTGTGAAGACAGAGGAAGAGAGGACCAGAAGCATTACAAAGAGAGGCATCTATTTGTATTTGTATTTTATGTACTGTCAGTGCTGTAAGTTCAAACATACTTACTGCCTGCACTTACTGCCTCTTCAGAGACTAACCCCTCAAAATAAGTGAAACGAGGGTGGGCAAAATACAAGAGAAGTACCACTTCATTCCACGCACCTCATGCTATATTCCCCATGCATTGCAATAAGCGAGGCTAGTGACCTTTCTATTGCACAGAGAAAAATAAGCTGCTAAAAATTGGTTTCCCACAGAAAGACATTCAAATTTACTTCAGAAGAGGAGGCAAGCTTCTAATAGAAAAACTGAGTAGAAAAAGTAATGCTTAATTTACCCTCTTGGCAGGAAGGTCATGCCCATTCCCAACTGGAAAAGGTCCAAGACCCTGTATGTGCATCCTTTAATGTGTGGTGAACTGGGATTAAAGACTATTCTGAGCAGCTATGTAAAAGTGCTCTTAACTTCTGAGTCATCTCTCCAGTCATGATTCAAGACTCCCAACTAGAGTTTGCCATTGCCTAGGGGCAAATGGCACAAGAATGCAGAGTGAGACCACTCAGGGTTCAAATGCCTTAGAGAAATACCCCTTTTCTTTTGCCAGAAAAGAAGAATGGTCTTTGAAACAGCAAAAGTAAATAGGAAACAATAATGTCAGCAGTCGCCCATGAGGGACACCAGTACCCTGCTGGTTCTGACCTCCCCTAGTTTTCATCCATCTAGTGCACTTCCCATTGATCATGGGACCTGACAATGAAAACTCGAACAATATGCTTCTGAACCTTGCCAGAACGATAACAAACTGGAGTTCCAAGGGAGCCACTGTCTTAAAATATTTGGTCTTAACAAAATATGCTGAGGAACTTGGAATGAATACAGTTGATTTCTCATTGGCCAAACAATATAACCCTCCCCATAATTCTAATAGTAACAAGTTTAATAAGTTCTTGTCAGAATAATAATATTGCAAATCTCACATAATTCTAAAAACAAAGCCTTGCCTTGATTATGTGACCAGAGAGAAGATTTGGGTACTGATTTTAAATACACGTACATGCTGCCGCCAAGTAAGTGTATACATATTCAGACCTGAGAAACACTACTGGAGTCTACTATAACTTTTAAATACTTATTTTACACATAGTAATGAATGATAACTGCAATTTTCAAAAGTCAATTATCAAGAAATCTGTGTTTCTGTACATTCAAATGAAGTACCAGTTTAAATGAAACATTGTAAAGTTGTATTTATTTCTTGTATTTTAAGCAACAAGACAAGATAAGCAGCTCATAAACTATATACATATACACCAACATATTAGGCTGACTAAATTTAAAGTACCAAGCATTGGTGAGGTAATGCAACAACTTGATCTCTTATAAATAATGGCAAGTCTATACATTGTGCAATAATTTTGGCAAATAACACAGCACGTCCAGCATCTACAAGTTTAATACCACTTGCTAAGGAGAAATGAAAGACTCTAAAACTGAGGTGAAAAACACAGAAGACAATCCTGGAATATTTTACATTACCAGAAAATTAAAAAACAACAAACACCACTTCTTTCTTCTATTACTACCACAAACCAAGCCAACTAGCTGAAAACAGTAATTCTACCAAAACCAGAATGCCCATATTGAGGGAATAATGTCACAGAGATACTGACAGCCAATGAAAAATATTCCTAGTGACTTAAGCCAAATAATTTAAGCAACAAAAGGTTATGGTACCACTGAGTTATAGCCCTGAGTATGAGATAAATATCCATGAGTCTGTATACAGAAAAATAAATGATGGAGGGCTGGAGAGATGGCTCACAGGCAAAGAGCACTGTCTGCTATTCGAAAGGTCCTGAGTTCAATTCCCAGCAACCACATGGTGCCTTACAACCATCTATTATGAGATTTGATGCCCTATTCTGGCCTGTAGGCAAACAAGTAGACAGAGCACTGTAATAATAATGAATAATAAATAAATATTCAAAAAATGAACAATAGATTAAATAAATAAATAAATAAATGGGTTAAAGTAACTTATATACATATTATGTCCTCAAGGAATAAGAGCGGACTACTCTGGGTGAAGCAGGAAGAGGGGAGGAAGTGAAAACAGGGATTGGTATGTACAATTAGAAAAATATTGTTTAAAAAAATTAGCTGGGTGTTGGTGGAGCACGCCTTTATTCCCAGCACTTAGGTGGCAGAGGCAGGCGGATCTCTGTGAGTTTGAGGCCAGCCTGGTCTACAGAGCAAGTTCCAGGTCAGGCTCCAAGACAATACAGAGAAACGCTGTCTCAAAGAACCAAAAATAAATAAATAAAAGAAAAATGAAATGAAATTTAAAAAGTGGACTACCCCACTACTTAAGCCTGGACACTCTTGTTCTGGAGGACTGCAGTAACATGATGTAATGGGAAGGGTTAGGGTTAGACAATGAAGATCAGTATTAATAGTGGTAAGTCATTCTTTAGCAGGTACTCCTCATGCTATGAAAATGGCTTTTACTTTGTATATTCCCCCTTCAAATTCTAACTTCATGAGAAAAATACCACACAACTTCTTGAAGGACATTATACAAAATGCTTGATCAATATTCTTTAAAACCATAGTTTTGTTCCTTTCTTTAAGGACATCACTTTCAACCAAGATCTACAGGCCAGGTGTCATTTCTAGTGACTTTTCCCATGATGCCTGCCTGATATGGATGGGGGTGGGGGTTTGAGCTCCTTGTATTTTAAGGCTCTTTAAAAACAGTATGTGAATTAAAATTTAAGGAAATTATAACTCATGGTATTTCCTTGTCCTTAAGTCGAAATTGTATATAAGTTCAAAACACAGTAGTTCCATACTGTAATCTTTCTGGATGCCTATTTTTATAGCTTACTGTGAGAATTGGATGACTGGATAACTTCTCAGGGTTGATAAGGTACTGGGAACTGGAGGAAATCCTTCGAATATGTATTCTTTGTAAACTCAAGTTGGAAAATAGAAAGCTAAGAATGGCAGGAAAAAAAGGAAAGTACCCAAACAAAAGAAATGCCATGGAAGGCTGCCATGTGAAACAAGGAGCAGAAAGGACTGTATTTCCCAAGTGGTTTGCTGCCCAAATAAAAAGTTCTCAAGAAGAACTCCAAATGTAAAACTGTATGAAACAATAATACAGAAAAGCACTCCACTCAAATACACTATTTTATTCATGAGACAGGGTCTCACTATAGAGTTCAGGCTGGCCTCAGCCTTCTGGATGCTGAGGTTATAGGTCTGTGCCACCACACTTTGCCCATGTCCTGTCTTTAAAATCTATTTTCATGAATTTACACACAGGTAAGCATGTGGCATGGCACATATGGGGAAGTCAGAAGACAACTTATGAGAGTCAGCTCTTCATTTCTACATTGTTAAGGCACAGTCACTTATTTCTGGTAGCACTGTGACATTCAACCTGGCTGGCTTCTCTGAGAGCTGTGTGCTGATTCTCCTGTCTCTACCACCTTCCCACATATCGCAGGAGGGCTAAGACTGCAGATGATTGCCATCATCTTTACAAGCAGATTCTGAAGTTCTAACTCAGATCAGGGCTTGTGTACTAAATGCTGATGCCTGCTAAGCTATCCCTTTAGTCTGTAATTGCTTTTAAAAATGTCAGCTATAGCCTTTTGTTTGGTTGGTTTTTTTTGTTTGTTTTGTTTTGTTGTTGTTGTTGTGTGTGTGTGTTTTTAAACAGGGTTTCTTTGTGTAGTCCTGGATATACTGAATTATGTACACCAGGCTGGCCTCGAACTCACAGAGATGTATTTGCTTCTGCCTCACAAGTGCTGGGATTAAAGGTGTGAGCTGCCGCTGCCGCCGCCGCCGCCTCCTCCTCCACCACCACCACCACCGGGTTTCAGCTATAGCTTGTTAAAAGTGATTGTAAAATATAATTTTAAAAATCATCTTAACTGATGAGATAAAAGCTCAAAGAGAGAGAAAAAAAAAAACTGAAATGTAACTGGTACTGAATATAGAGTCTCATTCATTGGTCTGCTTGTGAGTCTTGTCATTTGTAGTTTTGATGTACATTTTACAAGAAGGGCTGACCAGCTAGGTATGTAGCTCAATGACTGACCATCTGTGAGTGCTAGGTACAGACCCTAACCCTGAAAATGAGAGGGGGACTAGATGAGGGAGCAAAATAACAAGAAATGAAAAAAGATGCTATGGTATTAAGGCAATACCAAGAATCTGAAATATCTTTAGGTTTTATTTCAGTTGTACATGTCATATTTAATAGCTTTTCCAGTTTGATAGAGTTGAAAAAGAATAAAAACTAGTCTATAACATCTCTGTCTGTTTAATACTATACCCATGTTAAGGCATGTATCACAAGAATTCTAATAAAATTAAGTTATGTATAGTAATCATATGAAGTACTTTGATACGCATTGTCAGTATATATGAAGAAGTAGGAAAAAAATCCTAAAGCTTTCCCCTAATAACACGTGTTCTTATATTACTGTGAGAAACACCATAACCAAAAGCAATTTGGGGAGAAAAGAGTTACACATCCCAACCACAGTCCATCACTGAGGGGAAGATAGGGCAGGGACCTGGAGGCAGGAGCTAAAGCAGAGTCTATCAATGAACACTTCCCAGACTGCTTTGTTATAGTTGCACTGCCTTCAGTGGGCTGAGCCCTCCTACATCAATCATCAATGAAGAAAATACCCCTACAATCCAGCTGGGGCCTATTCTCAATTGAGATTTCTTTCCTCTTCCCAAATGACTCTAGCTTGTGTCAAGTTGACAAGACAAACAAACAAACAACAACAAAATAAAAACCTACCAGCACAGCAAGTATAATTTTCCCCCTGAGACAAGGTTTCCCTGTGTAGATCAGGCTAACCTTGAACTCACAGAGATCTGCCTGCATCTGCCTTCCAAGTACTGAGATTAAAAGTGTGTGTCACCACTGCCTGA